AAGATGTTGAGGCTCTGGAAAGAGTGCAGAAAAGAGCAACAACAATGTTTAGGGGACTGGAGGCTACAAAAGATGAAGAACAGTTGCAGGAATTGGGTATGTCTAGTTTAATGAAAAGAAGGACTAGGAGTGAAATGATAGCAGTCTACCAATATCTGAGGATCTGCCAGAAAGAAGAGGGAGTCAAGCTATTCTCCAGAGTGCCTGAAGGCAGGACAAGAAGCAAAGGATGGAAACTAATCAAGGAGAGAAGCAACCTAGAACTAAGGAGAAACTTCCTGACAGAACAAGTGGAATAACTTGACCTCAGAAGTTGTGAGTGCTCCATCATAAAAAGCTGGCATATTTTATTATTTTATTTTATTATTTATTATTTATTTTTTTTTATTATTGCATTGATAATCTTGTTAGGAAAGGGACCATCATACATTTCAAATAATGCTCTTGTGCAATTATTGCACATCAAGCAACAACTTTGTGCTTAGCATCTGAACTTGAATGAAGTTGTCTAAAGGTGTCAAATGTTGAGATGATCAAAACTGAATATCCACAGGCTTAAATGAGACCCCATCAGTGGTGTGAACTAATTCAGATGTTTCTGTGGAATAAATTTTATTTGCTTTAATGGACAAGTTTTAGGTCACTAGGAAGGAATCCAAAATGATCTTATTTCTGGAACTATCCTCTTAAAAGATAATTTAAAAAACCCCAAGAATCTTCTAGTTTTCTGCATTATGCCAATTAGCCAAAAAGCATTCATAACCTCTATTAAACTTCACTGGCATTCAGCATGTGCATACGCGTACATGAATTCCTGAAATAATTTTTTATTGTTAAAGAAAAAAATGTTGTTTGTTTCTCCAAGATGCATGTAACTCTTTCAAGTTGTGAGAGACATCTTAAAATTAACAATTGAGCCATAATCAGAATTGAAACCGGAAAAAGAAGTATGAATTGTTTATGAATGCTTAACACTGAATTAAACTAAGTTTCAATATAGTCTAATCTAAGAGACTCTATCTTATTTTTTCAACAATATTATGACCTGAAATTCATTGCAGAAATGCCAAGAATTTCTGATTCCTCCACTTTATGAAATATGATAATATTCTAGAAAAATTGTTCCCTGTATTCCTCTGTCATCTTTGACAAAATATTTTTTAGGTCTTTAAAGCCCAATAGTCATAAAAACTATGAAAAGAATTCAGGATAAAGTAAGAATGCAGGCTACAAGCAACGGGGTTTCCAGCTTTCAAGTTTTGTTTAAATAATTTGTCTAGCTCAAGAAGACAAACCTACTTAGAGGAATCTAGCAAACTGTGAAATAAAATTATAATAAAGCTAAAAAAAAAACAGTCCAGAAGAAATGAAAGAGTCAGTTGCAAGCAAAAGGTTAAACAAGGCGCAGCCAGACCATTGGAAAAAGGAAGTGAAATAGGACAAGTACTGATCTAAAAAGAGAAATTTCAATAGTTGATCAATAAAATTGAGCCACTGGTAGATGAAGTTCTAAGATTTGCCAACGTAAACCCAGCAAATGCAGAAAGAAAAAACATACAGTAATTCAGTCTGGAGAATTTTTAACGTTATTCCTTTTAAAAGTGAGTATCTCGTCGCTTCAGGTCAAAAAACCTACCTTATTGAAGTTCTGATTTCAAAGTTTTGTGTCTTCTTTGTTCTCTGTCTTCTTACTGTTCCTTAAGGCAACCTGAAGCAAACTCTTCCCTTCTGTGCAGAAGACCCCCTTTTGTAGGCTTCCCAAAATTGCGAAGTCCACACACATTCACCTATGATTTAATCACACAGCGGAGCACCTGGTTTTGCTCCCACAAAACAGACCAGCATCCATCCGAGTTGAATAATACCAGCATTGCCATCTGCTGACAAATGTCTGCAAGGCAAGGGAGTCTTGCGTCTGTATTCATCTGGAGGTTGATTCAACTGAGAAGTTGAACGGAACAAGGGCAGTGGTTCCTGATTGCCCAAAGGTGAATCCTTCACTGCAGATATGTTGAAGTGGTGTTCAAGAGACTTTTGCATGGATCTCAGCTCAAAAGTGCATCTTAAAGAGGCTGGCCAATTCAGGGAACCATTTAGACTTCTGTTATGAAAGTAAAAAAAGAGAAAAAGAACATACTTTAAAAAAATAAGCTAATATCTCACCCAAAAAAAGACAACACATAGATCAGCCTTACGAAGTAGATCAGATCAGGAACCCGACTTTACAAGAAGACTAGAAATATATTTTATTCAGATCGGCTTCAGTAATTATTTTCACAGCTTCTGGTTGCTGATTGAATGTTATATTTATAGGGTTGAACTGTGGAACCCTTAGTGCTTTCTGATCTTGGTGGTTTTCTACAGACATTTCATTACCAAACTAAGTAACAACATCAGCGCTAGAAGTAAGTAAGGGTTTACTCTTATTTTTGTATTAGTATATAAAGGGAGTTGACATCCACAGGTCCCAGAGAAAGAAATATTTTTGGAAATATTTAAAAGGCAGAATATATTTCCCTAAAGGATTTTAAAGGCAGAAACCAACCCCCCCCCCCCCCGAGTCTCTCTATCCCAAACAGAAACCAAGTGTGCAAAATGCAGGTGATAATCTTGTCAGAAAGACTGGAATCAGGAAACTGGGATTAGGAAGAAAGATCTCTAGAATCAACACCAAAAATCTAAGAGTCATCAGCCACAACCCTAAGGAAGCAGGGACATAATAGGATTAAACCACCACCATCAGAATAGCAGAAAGGCACACTCAGACTCAGGTCAAAGTTCATGCCACAGAAACAACTCCAAACAAAAGGCTCCAGAGGGTATAAAAACCCACTCCCTACACGTGCTCATTCTCCTTCTTCCAGAGCCATCTTTCTATGGCTCACCTCTTCAATAAACTGCAACCTTCTTCCTAAAGCAGTCGCCATGTTGTTTATCCCCGGCTTGGACTGAACCATGATGAAGACTTTTCTTTCAACACTATCTAGTAAACTATCTCCTAGCTAAGGTAAGATGGAAGAGACTTGCATGTCACAAACTTTTACATATGGAATAGAAAAAAGTTACCATCCTATAATGGAGAGATAGACAACAAAACGGCTCAGTTTCCCTCCATCTACAGAGGCATCACCCTATTACTCTAAGACTTCAGATAACTGAGTAGATGGATTTCATTTTGTCTGTGGGGACATCTATTGGTGCATACTGGTGATGCAAACTTGGTTTCTAGCAGACCTGGGCAAGGTGAGGATGCCTAACCACGATGAAGTCTTTTGTGCCAGGCTTTGATGCACAGGTGCAATCTACAAGGGCTATTCCATCAAAGCTGGAAATCCATGTATCAGAACAAATAAATGATTTGAATTAAAAAAGCTGAATAAAATGTCGCTGACTCAGTCACACAGGCTGGCAGGGATTTTCCATGTGGACAAAGCATTAGGATTAGGAAAATGGAATTTTCCTAAAAATAGTAACGATGGGATATAAATAAGAAAATATATAGGCTAATATACGACTAGCCCAAAACTCCCCAGGAAAATTTCATAGGTGGGAATTTGCCTCATTGCCTTGGGATTCATCAGCCTTCACATCCTTTTTATCCTGGGAAAACTCACCTATAAATTCACTAGTTAAATCAAAATGAATACGTTATTTGAAGATACTAAAGACGAGCCTTATCTGCAATCTTCCTTCCCTGCCGCCATTTTATTAAAATCAAAGTTTTATTTTCTCAATTTCCAGCACAAAGTCCAGAAGCCATTTCCAAATGAAAATAAAACTAGCAAGATTCTTCTCTTTCATTAAAACAGATTATTTTACCATCTCTGTCCGCTCCATCAGTTTTACCATCCATTTTTCCGTTGTGGGAATTAATGTGTCTTTCTATCTTTGTGCATATGAGATTCTTGCACATAGTCACCAACTTCCAAACTTTCTTTCAAGTTTTTTATCTGTCGGGAATGAAAAGAAAACTTCTGGATTCAGTTTTATGTTTATTTTAAGAATCTTCTGAAGAATACAGAGAAGAGCAACAAAGATGATCAGGGGACTGGAGGCTAAAACATATAAGGAACGGTTGCTGGAATTGGGTATGTCCAGTTTAACGAAGAGAAGGACGAGGGGGGACATGATAGCAGTATTCCAGTATCTCAGGGGCTGCCACAAAGAAGAGGGAGTCAAGCTATTCTCCAAAGCGCCTGAGGGTAGAACAAGAAGCAACGGGTGGAAACTAATCAAGGAGAGAAGCAACCTAGAACTAAGGAGAAATTTCCTGACAGTGAGAACAATTAATCAGTGGAACAGCCTGCCTCCAGAAGCAGTAAATGCTCCAACACTGGAAGTTTTTAAGAAGAGACTGGACAGCCATTTGTCCGAAATGATACAGGGTTTCCTGCCTGAGCAGAGGGTTGGACTAGATGACCTCCAAGGTCCCTTCCAACTTGATGATGATGATGATGATGATGATGATGATAAAGAACTGATCCCAATACAGGCAGTCCTCATCTTATGACTACAACGCAATTCAAAATTTCTGCTGCTAAGCGAAACAGTTGTTAAATGAGTTTTACCCCATTTTACACCCTTTCTTGCTACAGTTGTTACGTGGATCCCTGCAGTTATTAACTTAGTAACATGGTTGTTAAGTGACTCTGGTTTCCCCCATGGACTTTGCTTGTCAGACGGTCACAAAAGGGGATCACCTGATCCCAGGACACTGCAGCCATTGGTGCCAAGTGCCTGAATTTCTATAACGTGATCGTGGAGATGCTGCAATGGTCGTAAGTGTGAAAAAATGGGTATAAATCACTCTTTTCAATGCTGTTGTAACTTCGAACAATCAATAAATGAACGGTGGTTAAGTCAAGGGGCTACTTATATTTCTCTGCTTTATCATAACCCCACAAGAAACGACAAACAGTAGCCTTCTACACTTGCGTTTCTAGCCTACCTTTCCCCTGCAGTTTTCCATTTCAACTTTGCAAGTGAGAAAAAAATCACAGACTTAACAGCTTCCTCTCTTAACCAGCAGGAGAAAAACACCCGAGCTGAGCAACTGCAGAACACGTTCATTTCTCAATTTGTTGAAAACCCTACCCAGCTTTCAGACAAGTTTTACTACTTTTATTCTTTTTCTTTTTTAAATTTCCTGCTTTTTCTTTCTTTCGTTCTTTTTACTGGACAAGTCTCTCTCTCTCTCTGTCTCTCTCTGTCTCTCTCTCTCTCTCTCTCTGTCTCTCTCTCTCTCTCTCTCTCTCTCTCACACACACACACACACACACACACACACTGGTAAACAAGGAGCCCCTCCTGCACGAAGTGGGGAAGACCCATCCTTTGGAGATACCTGCACCAACGTTACAAAGACTATTTGCCTTGGGAGACAGCAAAGAGTAGGAGCAAAATGCCACTCGTCCGATCCCTTTCGGTCACTTCTCTCAACGGTCTCCCTCAATGGGACAGCGAAGATTTACCCGTAGAAGACCTACTACTCTTTGAAGTCTCCTGGGAAGTCACCAATAAAGGTGGGTGCCCTGTTTTTTTTTTTTTTTATTCCCTTCCAAGCTGCTGGAGCAATTGATTTTATTGGTGTAGCATAATTATGAATGGAAGACTGGGAGGGGGGAGAGGAGGATGAGGATGAGGATAGAGTTACCTATGTAAAGGCAGTTTGCTGAGGGATGCATGGATGTGTACAACTGCTGTTGCTTGCAGTGAATCTGCTGCATCCATTTTATATAATAATAATAATAATAATAATAATACGATATCTGTAATACCATCAAACATCCACATCTGCCTATCCCAGGTCCTGGGTAAGGACTCGATAGGTAGACAAAATGCCAAATCCAGTCTGAACATCTGGCTGACTGTGCGATGATCAATAATAATAATAAATGATGATGATGATGATGATGATGATTGGGAAGGGACCTTGGAGGTCATCTAGTCCAACCCCATGCTCAGGCAGGAACCCCTATACCATTTTGGACAAATGGCTGTCCAGTCTCTTCTTAAAGACTTCCAGTGTTGGAGCATTCACCGCTTCTGGAGGCAGGTTGTTCCACTGGTTAATTGTTCTGACTGACAGGAAGTTTCTCCTTAGTTCCAGGTTGCTTCTCTCCTTGATTAGTTTCCATCAGTTGCTACTTGTCCTGCTCTCAGGTGCTTTGGAGAATAGCTTGACTCCCTCTTCTTTGTGGCAGCCCCTGAGATATTGGAACACTGCTATCTTGTCCCCCCTCGTCCTTGTCTTCATTAAACTGGACATACCCAATTCCAGCAACCGTTCCTTATATGCTTTAGCCTCCAGTCCCCTGATCGTCTTTGTTGATTAGGGGCCTTTATTTATTTGTATCCCGGCTTTATTATTTTTACAAATAAGTCAAGATGGCAAATTATCCAATACATGCTCCTCCTTCCATTTTCTCCAAAACAACAGCCCTGTGAGGTGGGTTGGGCTCAGAGAGAGTGAGTTGCTCATAGTCACCTAGCTGGCTTTTATGGCTAAGACAGGTCTACAATTTACAGTCTCCTGATGATTGGTCCCGAATCACCCAGCTGGCTTTTATGCCTATGGCAGAACTAGAATTCACAGTCTCCTTGTGATTGCCACAAAATCACATAGCCAATTTTTATACTGAAGAGGGGATCTAGAACTCAGTCTCTTGTTGATCTGGCGCAAAGTCACTTAGCTGACTTTCGTGCCTTAGGTGGGATTAAAATTCCCAGTCTCCTGGCTTCTAGTTTGGTGCCTCAACCACTATAGCAAACTGGCATCTTGCACTTGGCTGATCTTGAGAATTACACTTCTGAACAGTGGGAAGTTTTTTCTCCCCTCTGAAATCGTACTTTTGAAACAGTTATGTCAAAAGCACTAGTTCTGAATCTGTTGCAGTTTTGGTGTCAAATGTGTCATTCTTTGCTTTCCTTTTTTTCCCCTCTGAATTAAACCTAACGATCATACCCATTCTTAGGTATGAAATCTAGAGAATACTTAAATATTTTAGGATTCTATTCCTATTTTTTTCCTATATTCTAGCTCTTGATTATAGGAAACTGGATGGTGAAAATGATCTGGAGATTCATTTGAGTGCTCTCTGCCTAGTTATTTCCATGTATTTTATCCCAGCCTTTGAATTATATTTGGCAAGATTTCCATGGCAATACCGTGTTTTTTGTTGTAATGTCCGCACACTGGCAAGCCAATATATTTGTCAATCTTTTCAAGCATGGCAGATATCCCATAGTTAATCCATTCAGTATGGCAGCCAAAACAATTTTGAATCACTATTTTTATTGAAGTCTATGGAGATCTTTCCATAAAAATGTGGGCAGCTCCTGCACGTTTCTTGGGTGCACTGACACAGATGTTGGCTGTGAAACACCTCTACTCACATGTTATGTTGTGTGCGTGTGGTAGACTGCAATGAGGACCTATGATAGGGCAGAGGTCCACAACCTATGGGCCACGGCCCACTACTGCCACCGTGCCGCGTGAGTGGTTGGCCAGTGCATGTGAGCATGTGCTCAAGCTCACCCCTTGCCCTTGCGCAGCTCTAGGTGACCTCCAAGCCTCTCACCGGCTCTAGCCAAGCCACGAGCTGCGTGCCGGCGCTAGCAGTCCCATTTGCGGAGTGTGCATGCTCACAGCCCCATTCGCACAAACGCACAGGCAGCCATATTTGCACACGTGCACACTCACGCGTAAAGCTGCCTGTCCCTCCCTTTCCCACTGGGCCACCAATCCAGAAAGGTCAGCGACCCCTGTGATAGGGCATTTCTTAATCCCCCCTTTTGCCAGTTCAACTCATGATTTTGTGATATAAAAAAAATGACCGCTCGGAGTAAATTTCCCCAATCCATGTAGCTCTTCTCCCCACATCTGTTGGTATTTGTTATCCTGCTAAGAATAATGTAAAATCTTTATTTATCTATATGCTGCCTTTATTATTATTTTTTTTTTAAAAAAAAACCAAGGCAGCAGACATATGGAATACTTCTTCCTCATGCTATTTTCCTCATAACAGCAACCTTGTGAGGTAGGTTAGGTTGAGAGAGAATGACGGGTCCAAAGTCACCCAACATGATATCATGCCTAAGGCGGGACTAGAACTCACAGTCTCCTGCTGATTGGCCCAATGTCATTCCACTGGCTTTCATACCTAAGGCAGGACTAGAACTTACAGTCTCCTGCTGATTGGCCCAAAGTCACTCAGCCCCTTTCATGCCGGAGATGGGACTAAAACTCACAATCTCCCAGTTTCTAGTATGGTAGCTTAAATGCTTGGCCAAACTACCTCTCAAAATCTTTTCCATTTTCAGAACTGTTCTTTCATTTCCACCGTGGCTCTAAGTCAAACTAATAAAGGAGGGTGTTGTACCCCATAATTTAAATGAATTTATTAGCACACCAGTGCTGCCTTTAGAAATTGCTCACTCCCATCAAAACTGGAAAGAATGTTGTAGTATGTCCCCCTTCAGAAATGGTTGGGCAATGTCTGTTTGTTCTGCTCGTAAACTCAAAGTGCCACGGTTTCATTTTTAAACCATATATAGTAGGGGTGGCCAAATTGATGGCCTTGACTCAATTTCAGTTTGGTCTGTCCAACTAGCTACAGTGATTTTTGGTCATCTCCCTGGCAGTCTGGTGGGGAAGAGAAAGGAAGGAAGGAAGGAAGGAAGGAAGGAAGGAAGGAAGGAAGGAAGGAAGGAAGGAAGGAAGGAAGGAAGGAAGGAAGGAAGGAAGGAAGGAAGGAAGGAAGGAAGGAAGGAGGGGGTTAGGAGAAGGGAGGGAGGGACATAGGAACAGATGGAGGGAGGAGATTAGGAGAAGGAAGGAAGGGAGTAAGGGAGGGAGGAGGTTAGAGAAGGGAGGGAGGGAGGGAGGGACAGAGGAACGGATGGAGGGAGGGAGGAGATTAGGAGAAGGAAGGAAAAGGAAGAAAGGGAGGGAGGGAGAGAGGGAGAAAGGAAGTTAGTAGAAGGGAGGGAGGGAGAGAGTGATGGAAGGAAGGGAGGAGGGAGGGAGGAAGGAAGGAAGTTTGTAGAAGGGAGGGAGGAAGAAAGTTAGGAGAAGGAAGGAAGGGAGAGAGGGATGGAGGGAGGGAGGGAGGGACATAGGAACAGATGGAGGGAGGAGGTTAGAGAAGGGAGGGAGGGAGGGATGGAGGGATGGATGGATGGATGGAGGAGATTAGGAGAAGGAAGGAAGGAAAGAAAGGAAAGAGGGAGGGAGGGAGGGAGGGAGGAAGGAAGGAAGGAAGGAAGGAAGGAAGGAAGGAAGGAAGGAAGGAAGGGCACAAGTCTTCAAATAGCCAGGATTGAGAAAACATTGTTTTATTGTATTTATTGGAAGTCATCTAGCCATTGGAAGCCATCTAGAATGGCTAGCCATGAGAACATACTTGTTTGCAAATAAAGGCCCAAATTAATGCAGATCAAGTAACCCGGACCAAATTACCGTAAAGCTCTCCTGCCCTGGATGAGCTCATTACTTTCAAAGTATGGCCTTAATATATTTTCCTCTACTTTGTCTTGTTCCTTGTAGAGGATGACTTAGCCCTGGACTGAAACAGACGCTTGGTGTTTGTTGACATTCCTCCAAACATGTTGACTTGCCATTAGGAACAAACCTCTTCCTGCTATAATAACAGAAATGAGTTACTGATGAGTAAATCAGTAACTTCACCCGTCAGCTCCCTGTATGGCTAAAGATAAAGGGAAACTGAGGCGGGAGAGTGTCTTGCAATCCCAGAGATCTAATCTCCGTGAGGCAAATAGTAGGCCGGCTTTTGAAATCGGCCGAAATCGGCCGAAAATTTGGGAGTTAATGTTGTCCTCAAAGGAAAACCGCTCTCACCCCCCCCCCCCGCAAACTCACTTTCTTTCTGGATGAAAAAGTCTTTACAGATGGTGAAGCCTTTGGATTGTGAGCTGTTTATATACAGATAGTCCTTGACTTACAACAGCTCCTTTAGCGGCCATTCAAAGTTACAACAGCACTGAAAAAAGGGACCATTTTTCACAGTTACGACCGTTGCAGCCTCGCCAGGGCCACGTGATTTACATTCGGATGCTTGACAGCTGACTCACATTTATGACGGTCGCAGCATCCCAGGGTCACGTGACCCCCTCTGGCGACCTTTTGATAAGCAAAGTCAAGGGAGAAAATAGATTCCCTTAACAACCGTGTTACTAACTTAACAACTTGCAGAGATTCACTTAACCGGTGTGGCAAGATAAAGTTGTAAAATGGGGCAAAACTCACTTAACAAAATTTTCACTTAGCAACCTAAATTTTGGGCTCCGTTGTGGTCGTACGTTGAGGACCGCCTGTAGACTGAACAGGAATCAGACAGGTAACTGCATTAATTACTTAAAACAGCAACACCAGCATATCATATCCTGTTGTGAAATTTAAAAATAATCACCGATTGGCTGGTTCATACAACATATTTAACTTGGTTCCATTCCCTGCATTGGTGCGATGCTCTGAACTCTAAACTGATCAAATTACGCAAGTGTGTTCAACACACAAAATAACCAACGTGAAACTAATTGAGGTTAGGATGTGGCGGGCACAGGGTCTCTAGGTCTTTAACTCACCTGGTTGAAATAGGAAAGGATGACCTGGTGAAGCCTGTTAACACCAGGAAGTCATGTTATATACAGTATCAGAATTCATTTTGGAGAAGATAAAAGAAAGAAAAAAAGGAAAAGAAAAAAAAGGAAATAAAAAAATAAAAATAAAAAAATGAACTCCTGGCATTGGGTTTTGCTAATTTCTAGCGTCAGTTGTTACAGAAAGGGCTAGTACTTGCTAAATTGTTAGGTAAAAAGGTGAGGCTTGTAATTCTATTCTGTGCTTTTGTTGTTGTTAGTTGCGAAGTTGTGTCCGACCTATCGCAACCCCATGGACAACATTCCTCCAGGCCTTCCTGTCCTCTACCATCTTCTGGAGTCCATTGAAGCTCACGCCTACTGCTTCAGGGACTCCATCCAGCCACCTCATTTTCTGTCGTCCTCTTTTTCCATTGCCCTCCATCTTTCCCAGCATTAGGCTCTTCTCCAGTGAGTCCTTCCTTCTCATTAGGTGGCCAAAGTATTTGAGTTTCAACTTCAGGATCTGGCCTTCTAAAGAGCAGTCGGGGTTGATCTCCTCTAGAGCTGACCGGTTTGATCGCCTTGCAGTCCAGGGGACCGGTTTGATCGCCTTGCAGTTCAAAGGCCTCAATTCTTTGGCGCTCGGCCTTCCTTATGGTCCAACTTTCACAGCCGTACATTGCAACTGCGACCTTTTGTTGGCAGGGTGATGTCTCTGTGCTCTGAAAAAAGTTGCAAAAACCAGTGTTGTTTCCTTTTTCTTTCCCTTTTATACCTACACTTTTCTTCTCCCTTTCTTTCCTTTCCCCCTTTTCCCATCATCTTTATTTTCATTTGCACATTATGATAATTTTAATAAAAAAAATTGGAGGAAAAAAAACCATATATAGGATGCAGAAGGGAAGATGGTTTGTTTATCCATATTTTAAAGAGAGGAGAGGTGATATTTACCGAACAAAGCCTGGAGAGGAGTCCATAAAGATCTCGGTATTGTCCTAATAATCAAATTTACTGCAAATATCTGCAGTTCCAAAATTGGGGTTTTTACTCGCTCTGAGCAAGGTGCTTTTTGCAACTATTCCAAAACAACTTTTGCCAAGCCCCCCCCCCCCATGAAACCACAGAGCTGGCAGGAATGATAGGAGGTGACAGGGAACCTCTTTGGCTGTTAAGTTGTCTCTCCACACTCAACACAAACTATGCAATAAAAAGATTGCTGCTTCTCCAGAGGTGTGTTTCCTTCTGATACGCTGCCAGCTCTTCCAGTGTCTCAGCAGGTACATTCCTGCCCTGTGAAAAGATATTCATTTTTCCTTTGTTTGCACACTCTAAACAAAGATAAATTGGTTTGGAGAGATTTGGGGGAGGGGAGGGTCAAAGAGTTGGGGAAAAACCACCCATTATTTTAGCATATTGTGCGAATGAAGCAATCACACGGGAATTATACAGAGCAGTGATTTGGTAACTTTTAAGTTGTGAGGATTTCAACTCCCAGAATTCCGCAGCCGGAATTTTTTTCTTCCCCCCCCCCAAAAAATGGCAAAAAATTCCAAGTACATTTGAGTTGTTTCATTGAGTTATTCTATAATATAATTTTATTAAAACTTCATCTTATTGGGGTTTTTTCCAAAAGGAGGGAGGGAGGGAGAAAGAAAAAGAAAGAAGAAAGAAAGAAAGAAAGAAAGAAAGAAAGAAAGAAAGAAAGAAAGAAAGAAAGAAAGAAGGAAGGAAGGAAGGAAGGAAGGAAGGAAGGAAGGAAGGAAGGAAGGAAGGAAGGAGGGGGTTAGGAGAAGGGAGGGAGGGACATAGGAACAGATGGAGGGAGGCGATTAGGAGAAGAAAGGAAGGAAGGAAGGAAGGAAGGAAGGAAGGAAGGAAGGAAGGAAGGAAGGAAGGAAGGAGGGAGGGAGGGAGGGAGGGAGGGAGGGAGGGAGGGAGGGGTTAGGAAAAGGGAGGGAGGGAGGGACATAGGAACAGATGGAGGGAGGAGATTAGGAGAAGGAAGGAAGGAAGGAAGGAAGGAAGGAAGGAAGGAAGGAAGGAAGGAAAGAAAGAAGGAAGGAAGGAAGATGACTGTACTTTTAGAATTTACATCTTTCCTGCTTTTGTTTCAGTCGGTGGCATCTGCACGGTGATCCAGACAAAAGCCAAAACTACTTTAGAAGAATGGGGGGAAAATTACTTTCTCCTTGGCCCTTATTTCGAGCACAATGTAAAGACACAGGTGGAACTTTGTGAACCTCCCAACGTGGCAGTGAAGAAAGCCATGGATGTGATAAAAGCCAATGGGTATCAGGTAAAAGAATTTTCCTCTAGAAAATTTAAACGTTTTAAAAAGTCTAAAAGAGTTGAAAAGAGTTATTGGGGTCACAAAGTCCCTCTCCTCTGTTCACATCAATAAATAAACAAACAAATCCAAATTATTATTATTATTTTGTAAGAGATGGCAAACTAATCTCTGCTGGAATAGGTCCAAAATACTTCAAATTCGTTTGGAATTTTTTGTTACTCTTTGGTAAAAAGGTTGCCCTCGTTCTTGAGGTCCAACATTATTTCTTAGGGTGAATAAATGGACTTTCAGGTCATAGACTGGCTCAGTTTTTACTGGCCCAGCAGTTAAGCACTGTTAACCAAAATAAAGGTAGTCCTCATATTATGGCTGCAATGGGATCTGCCCATCATGGTCATAACTGATGATGCTTGTAAAGCAGGTCAGTCAATTTGGCTAATCTTTTTTTGTGGTATTCATTCGTTCGTTTGTTCGTTCGTTCATTCATCCATTCGTTCATTTGTTTGTTCGTTTGTTCGTTCGTTCATTCATCCATCCATCCATTTTCTATGGCTGTCCAATTCAATCAAGTGACTCTGGGAAAGCTTACAAAGCTAACATTGTAAAATAATGAAAACAATTTAAAAGACATTAAAACAATAAAAACATCCCCCAAAATAGCAGCCGTTATGCAAATCATTGAAGTTGTTAAGTGAATCATCATAGCCGTTAAGCACATCCATAGTCATTAAGTGAATGCTGCAATTGTTAAGCCAACTGATGGTTCACTATGATCGTGGGCTTGCTAAAAAAAAATGGAAGTAAATGCCAGTGTTCGGTAAAATTATCGTGAAACACGGTACTGCTATTCATTACAATTCACCCCAAATCTTTGTGCTGGCCTCGGTAAATTCTTAATTGCCAAGATGAAGTCATTGAATTAAAGCAGAGGTCCGCAACCCCCAGGCCGTGGACCTGGCATACCAGCAACCGGTCTGCACAAACAAGCAAAGCCTCATCCACAAGATGCAGGCAGCACACAAAAGCACACCCCCTCCGGTCCACGGAAAAACCTCTCTCCATGGAACCAGAAACCTAGTGCCCCAAAAGTTGGGGACTTCTGAATTAAAGAATTCTGATTATATCCCCTGACTTGTATTGTTGAGCAATGAGTGTGGATTGTGACATCCCATGGTTTGCCCTATCTCTTCTGCCTCCCTTTAACAGGTCCATTTCGGGAGATGGCTGATTGAAGGAAGCCCATATGTGGTGTTGTTCGATATAGCATCAGCAGCTTGGAATCTGGATAGATGGAAAGGGGAATTCTGGGACGCTGGCCATATTGGCATTCCTTACCATGACAGAGAAGCAAATGATGTTCTCATCTTCGGATCGCTAACTGCCTGGTTTTTGAAAGAGGTGCTGTCTTTGGAGCTGAACTCCTCATCTTTCTTTCTACCTGGAAGGGTCTACCTGTAGACCAGGGGTAGGCAACCTTGGCACTTTTATGACTCGTGGACTTCAACTCCCAGAATTCCTGAGCCAGCCGTGCTGAGGGGAAAGGGAGAGGTTTCCATGCTGAGCCATGCTGTCTCAGGAATTCTGGGAGTTGAAGTCCACGAGTCATAAAGCGGCCTAGGCCTAGGCCAGAGGTAGTCAACCTTGGTGCTTTTATGCCTCGTGGACTTCAACTCCCAGAATTCCTGAGCCAGCCATGCTGGGGGGAAAGGGAGAGGTTTCCTTGCTGGCTCTGGAATTCTGGGAGTTGAAGTCCACGAGTCATAGGCCTAGGCCAGAGATAGGCAACCTTGGTGCTTTTATGACTGGTGTACTTCAACTCCCAGAATTCCTCAGCCAGCTTTGCTGAGGGGAAAGGGAGAGGTTTCCATGCTTAGCCATGCTGGTTCAGGAATTCTGGGAGTTGAAGTCCACGAGTCATGAGGGGGGCCAAAGTTTCCCTCATGCTGGCTCAGGAATTCTGGGAGTTGAAGTCCACCAGTCATAAAAGAACCAAGGTTGCCTACCCCTGCTGTAGACCATCCCCTCTAGTGCTCTGGTAGCCTCTGATGCTGGTGGCTGAGCGAGCATCCAGCCTGCCAGATCAAGAGGGAAATCCCCAAGTAGCCCCTGGAATCCCTCTGGATCCAGAAAAAATCTCTGGGGTGGACTTTGGTCCCTCTTCCTTTGATAGACCTGGGCAGCATCTATAAAGGAAGGTAGAGTTGTCCTTGGGGGAAGATAGGAAAGAGCCATCAGGAAGGAACTTGGATAATGAATTGTATGAACCAGAGATAAAAGAAAGCACGAAGAGCAAACAAAATTAAGACAGGGTTATTCTGAGTTCCTTTCTTACACTTCCTTCTATCTCTTGACTTGGTGATCTCCTGCTCAAGTCTCTCCTTAACGACATGTTCATACTTTCCCCAGGATTACTTTTAAATTCTTTCACAGTGACAATCCTCATTCAAACCAAGAAATGATCTATCTCAGAGGTCTCCAAGCCCTGGTCCGTGGACCAGTATTGGGCCATGGCATACCAGTAACTGGTCCGCACAAACAAGGAAAGCTCCATCCACAGCAGTGGTTCTCAACCTGTGGGTCGGGACCCCATTTGGGGTCGCCAAACAACGCAATCTGCCATTTCCCCCCCCCCTTTTCCTTAGCTGTGCTACTCCCTTTTATTCTATTGGCTTTTGAAAGCCAATAGAATAGACTCTCTTGAATAGAGTCTAATTCTATTGGCTTTCAAAAGCCAATAGGAATTGTCCAGGCTGTCTCTGCCCTGCTGAGCCTGCCAAAAGTCCCATTCTGCAAACGGTGCTGCACCAGTTGAGTAGTCCTCGACTTACGACCGGTTGGGGTCACGGCATTAAAAAGGTTGAGAACCACTGATCCACAGGATGCAGGCAGCACACAAAACCAGTCCCCCTATGGTCTGCGGAAAAATCTCTCTCCATGTAACTCTTGTGGAAAACGAAAGGACTCTTACGAATTCCAGAGGGCTTTTAGCAGAGAGATTTATTGTGCAGGTTCAGAAGCTATAGCAACAAGCAATTCTGAACCCCGAGGGCGGGTTCAGACTTCAGTTTTATACTTTCCTTTTTCTCAGGAACAAAGGAATACACATTGAAATACACATTGTAATACATTAGGTTAGTTTCTCACGGGTATACAATGGAAAGTTTGCTACATATATTGTATCCAAGTGCAATGCACATTAGGTTAGTCACATACTGCTAAAAACAGCATTATTCCAGTAATTATGCAGACACATCATTATTCTAGTGATTGTTAACCTTTCCACATTATAACCAGTCCCTGGTGACCAAAAGGTTGGGGACTTCTGATCTATCTAACCACGCGAAGGGCTGGTGGCAATCCTTCATTGATTTGGTTGGATTTTTATCCTGCTCTTGATTTGGGTGAACTCAAGACAGCTAACTCAAGACAGCTCCTATTTTCCCCATAATAACCTTGTGGAGTGGTTTGGGCTGAGAGAGAGTGACTGGCCCTAAATTACCTAACTTTCTGATATTAGGACTAGAACTTGTGATCTTCTGGCTACTAATCCAGCATCTTAGCAAACACACTGCATTGACTCCAGTCTGATCACACGTCAACTGTCCTGAGACAGATCTGATGCAGGATGTACTTAGTCATATGTAAGTTGTTACTCAGTACTAGCCTGTGTTTGTCATGAAGGCCATGAAAACCTGGATCTTCCATGAGCCGGTTTCCAGGCTATGGTGACTGAAATGTCCTGACCCCCCCCCCCAACAGACAAGGAACTACAAACCCCAGCAGCAGCAGCGGCCAGAAACAAAACCTCCATGTACAATGAAACTTTAAGTACTAGCTGGTGGATTTTGTTTGATAGCATGGACCCTAGTTGTTGGCTTAGCTAATCCAGATTTCCCACAGTTCCATGGAGGGATGAAACCTAGGAGACCTTACGGGAAAACTAAAATGGCTGCTTAGATCTTGGGTGATGATGGTGAATGGATTGTTGTCAATCTTTCACCATCAGGATCAATGACTTCCTGGCAATAAATGACAGGTCTCTGCCCTTTAACAATGCCTAAACCTTTCTGTGTGTGTGTGTGTGTGTGTGTGTGTAAATTCTAGCAAATGGAAGCTTGAATAAACAGGAAGTACATATTCAGTGCTCGGAATCACTCAGTCACTAAATTAACCCTTGTTCTGATGTACGTTATTGCAGGGGTCCTCAACCTTGGCAACTTTAAGACTTGTGAACTCCCAGAATTCCTCAGACAGGTTTAGACAGAGACTTAAAGATATATCTACGTCCTCTCTTTCTTGCACACATCACCCGCTCTTACATAAAGAGATTTTATCTGAGGTTACTTCTTTTCTTCCTAAATATCTATGGAGATTCTCAATCATCCAGGTCATGGTTGTCCCAAAGGTGCTTTCCCAGAAGGCAAGTGGACTTTCTTGGGGAGGGGAGGGGTTTCCTTGAAAACATTTCACTTCTCATCCAAGAAGCTGCTTCAGTTCTAACCAGTTGTATAACTGAACTGGTAACAGAACTGAAGAAGCTTCTTGGATGAGAAGTGAAATGCTTTCAAAGAAAAATACCAATAAAGTCCACTTGCCTTTTGGAAAAGCACCTGTGGGATTTTTTTCCCCTAGGTAACACACACACACACACACACACACACACACACACACACACACACATATTCTTGCAGGGGTCTTCAAACTTGGCCCTTTTATGACTTGAGGACTTCAACTCCCAGAATTCCTCAGCCAGCATGTCTGGCTGAGGAATTCTGGGAGTTAAAGTCCACAAGTCATAAAAGGGCCAAGTTTGAAGGCCCCTACATTCTTGGATCTCTTGATGGGATATATAGTTAATGAAATGCTAGGCTTTGCCTATCCCTATAATGCATATATATTCTAAATAAATCTTCCTATTGTAAAACTGCTCCACCAATCACCGCTCTGGTTATAAAATTCCCAGTCTCAGGAATGCACCTTGCCCAGACAGGATCAACTGAATCATTAAATAACCACAGAATTCACTCAAAGCTCTAAGGCCTTTTCTTCCCATCCAGCAGGGAGGTTGGAGTAGAGGACCTCCAAGGCAGTGGTGGGATTCAGCCAGTTCGCACCACTTCGGCAGAACCGGTAGCTAATTTTTTGTTGCCCAGGCCCAGAACGGACTTCCGGAAGCGGCATCCACACAGAGAACCGGTTGTTCACATATTTGAATCCCATCACTGCTCCAACTCTTATCATTCGATGTTTGTCCCCCAACAAACTAAGTTGAAAATGAATTACTGTACTTTTTTTTATTGAAAAGTTTTACAAAAATTGCAAAATATACCACCAAACCCACCCCCCTTCCCCCCCCTCCCCCACTTCCCAGAGCTGAATACAGGGTAACAAATATAATAATCATAATCTAACTAACATTAACCAACTATGTAGATAAACAAATGTAATGCACTTTAACTCTCTTTTAACACAGGATAAACTTATATGAACTTTATCATATAATCAAATTAAAATCCCAATTTATAAACAATACAATATAATAAAGATTCCACTACACTAAACTATTAATAATAATAATGATAATAATAACAACAACAACAACGTGGCAGTGCCTGGAGACAACAGAATAGACGAGAAAGAACTGGAGAAGATAACAAAATACAAAGACCTACAAATAGAAATAGAAAGACTGTGGCAAAAGCAAGCAAGGGTAGTACCAATAGTCATAGGCTCCTTGGGTGCAATCCCAAAACAACTGGAGCACCACTTGAACACCATTGGCATTGACAAATTCGCTATTAGTCAATTGCAAAAGGCGGCCTTACTAGGAACTGCTTCCATCCTGCGACGATATCTGTAATACCATCAAACATCCACATCTGCCTATCCCAGGTCCTGGGTAAGGACTCGATAGGTGGACAAAATGCCAAATCCAGTCTGAACATCTGGCTGACTGTGCGATGATCCATAATAGCAATAATAATATTCAATAATTTATTCATAAAATAAATTGAACTTTTTAGTCCCATATTTATTCTGAATATAATCTATCCATCTTCTCCAAACCGAAATGTATCTTTCTTGTGAATAATCCTTCAAATAAGCAGAAATCTTAGCCATTTCTGCTAAATTTGACACTTTAAGTGACCATTCTTCTATAGTAGGCAAACAATCCTTCTTCCAATATTGCCCTACCAACAGCCTTGCTGCTGTTATTAAATTCAACATCAAAATAGAATTACTGTACTTTTAACACACTGAGCAAATGAACCATGAGGATTTTTTTAACTGACTTGGTTATTGATATTGCAAGTACCCAGCTGTTGCATCTTTGTTCTCTTGCCTCTTTCAGCTTGGAGACTGCTGAGAGATAAAAGTTAGTAGGGGATATAATAAGCTCCCCCTGTTTCTCTCTCTTTACAGCTTGTCGGTCAGTTTGAAGAGAAGCCTAATGTTATAGCTCACTTCCATGAATGGCAGACTGGCCCCGGCCTCATCCTGTGCCGGTCCAGGAAGATTCCAGTTGCTACCATTTTCACAACACACGCGACCCTGTTAGGAAGGTACCTCTGTGCAGCCAGCATAGATTTCTACAATCATTTGGATCAGGTGAGGAAACATGGCTTGTCTTTGTCATTCTTCTCGCTGTTGTGATTCTACAAACACTCTCGGTGTAATGGTACGTGGGAATGATCTTGACAGATAGGGGGGGAAGCCTTAATTGATCTGATAAAGCAGGTCTTGTGAACCCAGAGGTGACATTCTTACTGGAATGTATTTTGATTAGAACAGCTTTAAAATCGAGCATCTTCTGCTCCCAAATGTAACAGCCCAAGAGCCATGATGGCGCAGTGGTTAGAATGCAGTACTGCAGGCTACTTCTCCTGACTGCTGGCTGCCAGCAGTATTGCAGGCAAACTCTGCCAGCAGTTTGGCAGTTCGATCCTGACCGGCTCAAGGTTGACTCAGCCTTTCATCCATCTGAGGTCGATAAAATGAGGGGCCAGATTGTTGGGGGCAATAGGCTGACCCTGTAAACCGCTTAGAGAGGGCTGTAAAGCACTGTGAAGCGGTATATAAGTCTAAGTGCTATTTTTATTGCTATCGCTATAACGACATGTGGAAATGACCATGGAAGACAGGGACAGGAGCATGGGAGAGAGATGGTGCTTAGGGAATGGTCAGATCAGAAAGGGCATCACCTGCAGGTGCATCATGGGTGAAGAGACTCAGAAGAGGCACTGCTCAATTCTTAGACTGTAAAAGAGGCAGTGAGAGACTTGCCAGGGAAACCAGACAGGAAATACAGCCAGATAAGTTAATTCTATTAGTCAGATAAGAGAGGGCTTAGCCTGCAGCTGTATAAATGGGTGGAGAAAAAGGTTCAGAAAAGACCTTCTCTCTGGGTTCCCAAGCTGTAAATGAGACAGTGCCAGATTTGTACTTTCAAACTTGTAAGATTTTGTTAATGTAGCTTTAAAGGAGAATTAGCTTTGAAAGCCGTGAAGTTTCAATCAGTGTCTTGGTGAGGGTGAGTGGGACCCCCTCACTCCATCGTCTAAGGCAGGGATAGGCAATCTTGGCTCTTTTATGACTGGTGGACTTCAACTCTCAGAATTCCTGAGCCAGCCATGCTGAGGGGAAAGGGAGAGGTTTCCATGCTGAGCCATGCTGGCTCAGGAATTCTGGGAGTTGAAGTCCATGAGTCATAAAAGAGCCAAGGTTGCCTACCCCTGGGCTAGGGTCTGTCGTGCTTCCATCTTTTATAATAATTTTACTGTTTAATTGTTAGGATTGTCCAGAGTCATTGGGAGTCAAGTGGGTTATACACGTTTAATAAAATTCTTGTTGTTATTATGGTTTGAAAGAATGTCAACTTTCCACCAAGGTGATGTCCCATTGACCTACTGGACAAAAATTCATCTATTCCCAAGACCAATGCCAGTAGATTCCATCAGTAAACAAGTCCGTGCCAAAATGGCAACTCTACATAGTGACATCATCATGCAAATATCATTGTGCTGATGTCTGTTGCAGATCCTTAAGGGCAGTATTTACATAATGGTGTTGTTAACGGATATTTCTTAGTTGCCTCTCCCTGCCCTGCAGCAGTGTTCCAATAACTGAGGGGCTGCCCCAAATAAGAGGGAGTCAAGCTATTCTCCAAAGCGCCTGAAGGCAGGACAAGAAGCAACAGAGAGAAACTCATCAAGGAGAGAAGCAACCTAGAACCGAGGAGAAACTTCCTGGCAGTGAGGACAATCAAGCCATGGAACGGCTTGCATTCAGAAACTGTGGGTGCTCCATCACTGGAGGTTTTCAAGAAGAGATTGGGCAACTCTTTGTCTGAAATGGTATAGGGTCTCCTATTTGAGCAGGGGGTTGGACTAGAAGACCTCCAAGGTCCCTTCCAACTCTGTTATTCTATTATTCGGTCCTGACTCTTGCCGTCAACTCCAATACTTACTTACAAGTGTAGGAGTACTGTTTGAAAACTTCCTTCATCTGTGATTTTTCCCTTCCATTTAACAGTTCGATATAGATAAAGAAGCAGGGGAAAGGCAGATATACCACAGGTACTGCATGGAGCGGGCATCTGTGCATTGTGCCCATGTCTTCACCACGGTCTCTCAGATAACGGCCATAGAAGCGGAGCACATGTTGAAGAGAGCAACTGGTAAGCTCCATCTTTCTCACAGCATACGGGATAGGATAGGATAGGGAAGGGTAGGATAGGACAGGACAGGACAGGACAGGGATAGGCATTATAGGGATAGGCAAAGTCTAGCATTTCATTAACTATATATCCCATCAAGAGATCCAAGAATGCAGGGGTCTTCAAACCTGGCCCTTTTATGACTTGTGGACTTCATCTCCCAGAACATATTTATTGTCATTGTGTAACTCACAACAAAATTAAGTGCTGTCCACAGTGCACACTACTCACAAGTAAAAACCACAAATAAGAACATACATTATATACACACATGTTTCACATTCTATTAACCTTTGCGCTGCCCCTAATATTGCACTTCAATGTTGCACTATATACTGTGATATTTAATATGGTTACAGTAGTGGCCAAAATTATACAGTAGAAATGCCACCTTTGGTTAAGTTTCCACCAATTTTTCTTCTAATTTCTTTATAACTGTAGCCTTGTTTACTTAATAATACTATTTTACATCACTTTCTAGGCAACCAGTCAACTCTTTGCACCATTACTTTAATTTTATTACGTTTTACAAGCTCATTAAATGAAAGAACACAAAAAAACTCAACCAATTTGACAGCGATCACATAACACACTGACAAATGTCCTCCTCTCAGTTTCAATACATGAGATTGATAACTGAATCCTACTGTGATCTGATTGGTTCATTGCCAAAACATGATAACATCCGATTGGCTCTCTAAACACTCATGCTCATTGGCTACAATCAGGTGAAGAAAAGCTGCCTGATATCAACCTAAGCAAGTGGTGCTTCCTTTTTCTGGTTATTTGACTATAACTTTTCATAGAATACAGTACAGATAATTGAACAAACTATGTTGCATTACATTCTTGATTAAATTATCTTTCCATTGATATATAATTTTATGGTACTACTCCCAAAAAGTGGTGTTATTAGCCATAAAACCTCAAAAATACACTTTTCCCAAAAATACACTTTTTGGCCACTACTGTACAGCTCTGGGATAAAAACTATTTTTCAGCCTATTTGTCTTTGTTTTCATTATCCTGTACCGTCTGCCAGATGGTAACAAGTTCAAAAAAAGAATGTCCGGGATGAGATGAGTCATTAAGAATGTTTTGAGCTTTCCTAGGACAATGGGAACTGTACAGTTCATCCCGGGGGGGGGGAGAGAAGAAGGCAGTCAATAATCCTCTGGGTGATGGTAATGACCCTCTGGAGCGCTTTCCTATCTGCTACTGTGCAGTTGGCAAACCACACACAAATGCAATAGGTTAGAATGCTCTCGATGGAGCAACGGAAGAAGTCACCAGCAGTTTTTCATTCAGTTGTTGTTTCCTCACAACTGGAAACAACAGTTGTCAGGCTGGCCTTCTTAACCAAACTTGGCCTTCTTAACCAATGCTCTAACATGAGCACAGAAACATATTCTCAAAGATATTTCTTTAATGGTGAGAACAAGAGGAGCCTAACCATGAAAGAGTAATGTTGAAATCCGGAGGTTGGTTGTTTTCTTGAAGATGTTTCATTACCCAGGGCTGATGTTGTTACCTAGTTTGGGTAATGAAAAGTCTGGAAGAAAACAATCAACCTCCGAGAGCACCAAGGACTCCTCCTTTCAACCCTTCAATAAAAGAAGGCCTTAGGATTTCTGCAGCTTCTTTAGCTTCAGGTGAAAAGAAGGTGATCGTACTGGCCATTATATCAGTATATTTATAAAATAAAAACCTACAGTTTTAAATGAATCCCATCATAGCACTCTCTGGTATAAAAGAGCATCAAGAACAATGTGCAATATTGAGGAGTGCCAAAATCATGAGAACTTGATCCCTATTATTTGTAAGCTAATAGTACTCAGTCACATAAAATAATGTTTACAAGTTCTATGTCTAGAAACATCTCAGGAGGATACAGTGGCAGATAATATGAAATGTCACCAAAATGTCCAGTAGAACGTATTATCCTTTTTTGGAAATAGGGTATCTATCAAGGGTATCAAGACTTATCATCAGATTGCAAGATCTTTAAATAATTGGCTTTATTCAGAGAAAATTGGAGTTGAGATGCCCGTGCCAGAACTTTTGTTTGTAAAGAACGATTTGAAACTGGCACATGTCAATGTGCAAAGTTGTGAAAGGTGCCTGTTGCTCAGAAAAAAGGTCAATGGTCCTTGAGGAAGTAGATCATTAAGCCTGGCATTTGCCCAAGTGCATTGCAGTTTACAATCTGTGGGGAATCTATGCTTGGATAGAAGATAATTCCTTTCCAAATCACTGCTTCGGTATAGATTAATAATTAATAATTGATTGTAGGACTGCCTTCAGAACCTCTGTTCAAATAATGGTTTGCTTCAAATAATTATATGTATGTCAATGTCCCACCATCATCTCTTCTCTTCTCTTCTCTTCTCTTCTCGTCTCTTCTCTTCTCGTCTCTTCTCTTCTCTTCTCTTCTCGTCTCGTCTCTTCTCGTCTCTTCTCGTCTCGTCTCGTCTCTTCTTGTCTCTTCTCTTCTCTTCTCTTCTCTTCTCTTCTATTCTATTCTATTCTATTCTATTCTATTCTATTCTATTCTATTCTATTCTATTCTATTCTGCATCTAATCTAATCCTAGTCCTGGTCCTAATCCTACTGTAGTCCTAGCCCAGTGATGGTGAACCTTTTAGAGACCAAGTGCCCCAAAACTGGCCCTGCCCCCCGCTCCATCCCATGCCCCACCCCCACCCTGCCCCTACCCCGCCTGCCCGCAGGGCCACTCACTGCCTCCAGGGCCTGCCGCAGATCACCCAGGCAGCCCAGCAGTGCCATAGCAGCCACGCCCTCTGCCCGCACCCCGCAGCATCAACTGTGCGTGAGGGCAGAGTCTTGTCTACACTGCCTGGCTGCCATGTCCTTGGCTGCACTGCTCCGTGTGGGCCACACTCGGGGGCGACTCTCCTCCAAGGGGGCTGCTGGTGAGGAGGGGGTCGTGGGGAAAGCAAGACTGGGGCAACAGCACACGTGCCCACAGAGAGGACTCCGAGTGCCGCCTCTGGCACCTGTGCCATAGGTTCGCCACCACTGTCCTAGCCCATTCTGTTCTACTGTACTCTATTCCACTCCACTCCACTCCACTGGCATTCTATTCTATATTGGTATTGATATTCTATTGGTACACATTCCAATTCCTGAAGGATCAACTTCTCAGCTTCTTATCCTTTATTTAGACTACCCCTCTAAATTCATTGTCTTTCTTTTCCTTTAACCAGATGTTGTCACACCCAATGGCCTAAACATTAAGAAATTCTCGGCTATGCATGAATTTCAGAATTTGCACGCCACCAATAAAGCCAGGATCCAAGAGTTCATTAGAGGTCATTTCTACGGGTAGGATATGCCTTTCAAAATTGATACCCACATCACTCTGAAATATAGGCGCAAGGAAGAGATGCTATATTTCCAACCAAGCAGATGAAGAAGAAAAAAAAATTGCACTGTAGTCCTTGACTTACAATCATAATCGTAACCAGAATTTCCATTGTTAAGCAAGATGGTTTGCAAATCATTTTACGACTGTTTTATGCCATGGTTGTTAAGTGAACCGCTGCAGTTGTTAAGCAAATCACATGGTCGTGAAGGGAATCTGGCTTTAGAATAGAATAGGAATAGAATGGAATGGAATGGAATGGAACGGAATAAAATAGATGCAATGGAGAAGAATCGCATGGAACGGAACAGAACGGAACAGAACAATAGAATAGAATAGATGCAATGGAGAAGAATCGAATGGAATGGAACAGAACGGAATGGAACAGAACAGAACAAAACAATAGAATAGAATAGATGCAATGGAGAAGAATGGAATAGAATAGAATAGAATAGAATAGAATAGAATAGAATAGAATAGAATAGAATAGAATAGAATAGAATAGAGCTGGAGAGGACCTTGGAGGTCTTCTAGTCCACCCTCCCACTCAAGCAGGAAAACCTATACCATCTCAGACAAGACCCTTTGATTTCTAAAGCCAGCTGGGGAAGGTTGCAGAAGGTAACAGCTGCAATAGTTGTGAATACACGCTGGTTGCCAAATGCCCAAATTTTGTAACTGTGAGGACTGGTTGTAAGTCACTTCCCCCCCCCCGTGTTGTAATTTTGAACAGTGATTAAATGGATGGCTGTAAACTGAGGTCTGCCTGTATGCCATCTTGCAAATTGGTTCACTATTTTTAATCCTGCATCTGAAATAGTAGGGTCCTTTACAGTAACAAGCCCTGTGCTATTGATGTCAGATTAAAAGATTCACCAAGCTGTTTTGACCCTTCTCTGCTGCAAAGAGTTAAGAATTACTGGATAAAAGCAGAGAAAAAAACAAAATAGTTTAATCAGTGTCCTGTTTTGCTAGTCACTTTCCCTTCTTCAAATCTAAAATCCTGAAGAGCTGAGTTTGCACTTTATGCTAACAAAGTTAAAATGGGCTGGATAATTAATGATCTAGCACAGTGGTGGCAAACCTATGGCACGGGTGCCAGAGGCGGCACTCGGAGCCCTCTCTGTGGGCATTTGTGCCGTCGCCCCAGTCCTAGGCTTTCAGCTGGGTTTTATAAAATCTTTTTGCTTTAGACCTCCGCCGCCGTGTGCCCCCCCCCCAAAAAGGTTGAATCAATCAGTCAATTTCAACTCCTCGCGGGAAAAAAAAAGATCTCGCAAAGTTGGAATTGATTGATTGAACTTTTTAATCCCACCCAGTCTGCCATTACCATTGCAGCCACGCCCACCCAATGGGCCACGCCCACACAATGGGTCACACCCACCCGGCACTCGAGGATGCATAAGTGGGTTTGGGGTTGTAGTTTGGGCACTCAGTCTCTAAAAGTTTCGCCATCACTGATCTAGCATATTAAGAGAACTTAAATTACTGTGTCCAGCCTTGGTAACTTTTAAGACCTGTCGACTTCAACTTCCAGAATTCTGGCTGGGGAATTGTGGGAGTTGACGTCCATAAGTCTTAAAGTTGCCAAGATTGGACACCCTTGGCCTGACCCTTGTACTAGCATTTTGCTGAACCATGCCCTCATGCTGAGGCATAATTTGGGCCTAGCATGCTTTGTGAATACAGAGATTTGTTAACCTGGGTTTAACATGTTGTGGGAAAACCCCATCAGTGGCAGCAAAACTGGGTCATGTTTAATGCATCTTGTACTCCTGTTCTGCAAATAGTTTCCTTGGAGAAATAGGAGTCGGGGTTTCAAGAGTTGTGTTTTTAACTGAATTTTTAGTAGAATCTTTGAGTCAATATAATGCATGTATTCACGTGCATTTTTTTTTCTGGCGAGGATTATGTATTGAGGGATTTAGTCTGTTCCTTTGAGGCATTCCTTCGGCTTTGTATCAGTGGGCCCCGTAGGGAGAACAGATGTTTCTTTGCTATTCAGGATACACACATATAGAGCTGAAAGCAAGCTAGGTTATGCTCAGCTTCCAATGTTGTCGTTAGACATCTGTGACCTTTGTTCAACATCGCGGATGGTGTGTTTGTTTGAACAACAGTTTACAGCATTGTGCCCTTGTTTGCTCTCTTTCCAGCCATCTTGATTTCAACCTTGAAAAGACTTTGTTTTTCTTCATTGCCGGGAGATACGAGTTTTCAAACAAAGGAGCGGACATGTTTTTGGAGGCCTTATCAAGATTAAATTTCCTGCTGAGGGTAAGAAAGAGGACAGGCATCTCAGAAGCTCCCATAGTCAGACATTGGGAGAGCGACGATGGGTGAGACCAAAATCCAGCATTTCACGCCCCAAATGGCCAACCAGATTGATATCTTTGTGAAACTCACGTCCGTGGCTTGTCCATGCTGGCTGGGGAATTCTGGGAGTTGAAGTCCACAAATCTAAAAGTTGCCAAGGTTGGAGACCCCTGACCTATTACAACCCTCCTGTAGATATTTCTGAGAAATCAGTATAGAACAGGCATGTTAAACTCAGGACATCACGTGATATAGCGCAAGGTATCGGGCCGGCAATGAGGTGGGCACGGCTTCCACATGATGCGTATGGCCTGCAGTCCAGCAGTTTGACATCCCTAGTATAGAAACTCACTGCCCCCATCAGTGGAACCAGAATTATAGCAACAGTAATAGCACTTAGACTTGTATACTGCTTCACAGGGCTTTACAGCCCTCTCTAAACACTTTACAGAGTCAGCCTATTGCCCCCAACAGTCTGGGTCCTCATTTTTTCCGACCTCCGAAGGACAGAAGACTGAGTCAACCTTGAGCCGGTGAGAATCGAACTGCCAAACTGTTGGCAGCTGGCAGTCAGCAGAAGTAGCCTGCAGTACTGCATTCTAACCACTGCGCCACCACATAAAGGATTAAATAGGATCTAAAAACCCTAAATTTGGAAGGATCATCAAGACCAGTGTTTCCCAAACTTGACAATTTTAAGGCATGAGGACTTCAACTCCCAGAATTCCACAGCCAGCGTTGGGAGTTGAAGTCCACATGCCTTAAAATTGTCAAGTTTGGGAAACACTGATCAAGACCATCAAGTCTAGCCTGCTGTTTAGAAGAATCCTAATTAAAGTAGGTTCCATTGCTTAATGGAATTACTGTTCCATACACGCTATTGCTATTACAGCCATTATCAATTGGTTTTGCTGTTGAGCTGTTCGTACCTTCATTCGATCATGATGGGGAACTCATGTTGACTTTTTCCTGCACTGCAAGTAGTCCTCATTTTATCACCAGAGGATTTCTGTTGCTAAGCAAGGCGGTTGTTATGTGCCTTATTTTGTGATCATTTTCGCCACACAGTGGAACAAACCTCACTTAACAACCACCTTGCTTAGCAACAGAAACTTTGGGATCGATTGCAGTCATAAGTCGAGGACCGCTTGTACTTGAATGCCACTGTAGCTAGGGATGAGTTAACCTGTCTCATTTATGATCTCAGGATGAGACACAGCAGAAAAACCATGCCATCTGTCGAGCACTGGGAAGGTTGGGAGATCCAGGCAGTTCAAATGAGTATAACGATTTATTGTAAGCTTAAGCACGCCATAAGAATCTGAACTACTAACAGCCAAGGAAAATTAGCGGGAGATAAGAATAGAAGGAATTCAAATGGGCTGGATTTCGATCTCTTTTGAGTGTGAAGTGATTCATCACTGACGATGCATTTGATCCCTCCTTCGGGCTCAGCCTGGTCATCTCCTCTGACCATTTGTGCAGCAGATAGGTGCCTATAAGGCAGTGGTGGGATTCAAATACCTGAACATCCGGTTCTCTGCATGGATGCAGGCCTGGGCCTCCAAGGCCTAGAATGAATTTCCCAAAGTGACATCCATGCACTTCCTGTGGGCTCTTCTAGGCCTGGAAGGCCTCCTCCAGGCCTCCAAGGCCTAGAACGGACTTCTTGAAGTGACATCCACGCACTTCCAGCGGGCCATTCTAGGTCTGGGAGGCCTCCACCAAGCCTCCAAGGCCTAGAATGGACTACCAGAAGCAACGTGGGTTCAGCTGGTTCTCCGAACTCAACAAAATGTAGCTACCGGTTCTACTGAACCGGTGCGAACTGGCTGAATCCCACCATTGCTATAGGGACATGGTCTAAAAGACAGGAACAGGAAAGGCAATAAAAGGGGAGGAAAATATCTTTACCTCTGCTAAAAATGTGCTTTTCTCTTTTAGGTGCACAGAAGTGATGTCACAGTCGTTGTATTCTTTATAATGCCGGCAAAAACCAACAATTTCAACGTGGAGACACTGAAAGGCCAGGCAGTCCGGAAACAGCTTTGGTAAACTTCTTTCTGTTGTCCCATATAATGGACAGATGATGATGTCCTGTTTCTAATTTCAATACTGACTGGTATTCCAAAGGTGCAGTGGTTGGAATGCAGTATTGCAGGCTACTTCTGCCCACAGTCTGGAGTTCGATCCTGACAGGGCTCAAGGAGGATTCAGCTTTCCATCCTTCCAAGGTCAATAAAACAAGGACCTAAATTGTTGGGGAAAATATGCAAATAATGCTTCCTCATTGTCAACCGTGCAGAGAATGTGGCAAAGAGCTATGGAACAGTCTATAAGCCTAAATGCTATTGCTATGCTAACTGTATCCATCACTCCAGACAATTTCAGGATGTGAAAGATGGTAGCATCAACCAGGTTACAAATGTCTTGGGTGGACTTTGAGAGTTGCCAGATGCCAAAAAAAAGACAACAAATATTTGCCTGTATGCCCAAACTTCCCATTTCTCAGAGACAAATTGCTTTCTTCCCTTCAACATTCCTCAGTTACTTCTATAGCAGTGATGGCGAACCTTTTAGAGACCGAGTGCTCAAACTGCAACCCAAAACCCACTTATGCATCGTCGGGTGCCGGGTGGGTGGGGCCCATTGGCTGGGCGTGGCTGTGGTGATAACAGCAGACTGGGTGGGACTAAAAAGTTCAATCAATCAATTCCAACTTTGCAAGATCTTTTTTTTTTCCTGCGAGAAGTTGAAATTGACTGATTGGTTGAACCTTTTTTTTTTTTGTACATGGCGGCAGAGGTCTAAAGCGAAAAGGTTTTATAAAACCCAGGTGAACGCCTAGGACTGGGGCGACGGCGCGCGTGCCCACAGAGAGGGCTCTGAGTGCCACCTCCGGCACCCGTGCCATAGGTTTGCCACCACTGTTCTATAGGTTTCTTTATGACCTGCACATAAGGTACATTCTCCCTAACCTGTATAGATGTTCTCCCTACTAAGTTGACAGCTGGTCAGTATGCCAAACTTCCATACCAAGATCAAGTATGTATTTGCTCAAATACAACCACTTGTTTAGCAACTATTCGAAATTACAGCAGCACTGAAAGAAGTGACTTTTACAACAGGCACTTAAAACCATCGAAGCATCCCACCCCCATGATCACATGATCAAAATTCAGACACATGGCATATTTGTGATAGGAAGTTGCAGCTTCCTGAGGTCAAACATCACCATTTGCGACCTTTCCACCAGCCTCCAACAAGCAAAGTCAATGAAGGCAGGACAAGAAGCAACGGATGGAAACTCATCAAGGAGAGAAGCAACCTAGAACTAAGGAGAAACTTCCTGACAGTGGGAACAAGTAACCAGTGGAACAACCTGCCTCCAGAAGCGGTGAATGCTCCAACACTGGAAGTTTTTAAGAAGAGACTGGACAGCCATTTGTCTGAAATGGTATAGGGTTTCCTGCCTGAGCAGGGGGTTGGACTAGATACCTCCAAGGTCCCTTCCAACTTTATTATTGTTGTTGTTGTTGTTGTTGTTATTAATGGAGGAAGCTCAATTTCCTCATTGAAACACAGGGTTTATTTCTTTAACATTCTGTTTTACTCTTTCTTAGGGACACTGCACATTCAGTGAAGGAAAAATTTGGTAAGAAACTCTATGAAGCACTGCTAAGGTGAGAATTCAGCAGAATTATGCACCTGTGCAATCTTTCTTGTTTTTTTTATACAAATAACAAAGGATTCTGTATGTGTTTTATATACGGAAGACGCCTTGATGTAGAAATTAATATGGCATAGCTGTGAACCGTCTACGATGTTTATGTCTGAAGACATATCCAAAGTTGTCACTCGCTGTAGATACAGGAAACATGTTCTGGAGATCGAACTAGGACAGGGGTAGGCAAGCTTGGCTCTTTTATGACTGGTGGACTTCAACTCCCAGAATCCCTGGCTCAGCATGGACACCTCTCCCTTTCCCCTCAGCATGGCTGGCTCAGGAATTCTGGGAGTTGAAGTCCACCAGTCATAAAAGGGCCAAGGTTGCCTAACCCAAACTAGGATTACACGCAATGTTGTGTTTAGTTATTGTGTCTTATTTTCTAGAATTTGTCATTAGCTTTCAAACGTTCCCAGAGCCAGTTTACATAGTGCTAGAAAAATGTCTTTCTTGGGACACTGGAAAACCCACTTCTACAGATAGTCTTTGACTTATAACAGTACATTTACCGACCATTCAAGGTTACAGCAGCACTGAAAAATGTGACTTATGACCTGTTTTCATGGTCACGTGATCAAAATTCAGGCGCTTGGCAACTGACTCATATTTATGACGGTTGCAGTGTCCTGGGGTCATGGGATCCCCATTTGCAACCTTCTGACAAGCAAAGTCAATGGGGAAGCCGGATTCATTTAACAACTGTGTTACTAAACAACTGCAGTGGTTCACTTAACAACTGTGGCAAAAAAGATCATAAAATGGGGCAAAATTCATTGAGCAACTGTCTCACTTAGCAATAGAAATTTTGGGCTCAGCTGTAATCGTAAGTCGAGGATTCCCTGTACTTAGCACCAAATTTACACTTATTATTCCTAGAAATTTTAATAAATGTACTAGCGATTACTGCTTGGAAAATGCATGCATTACAGTTGCTTTGAAGTAAGATACACTGAGCTCCATGGGGTTTGAATTGGCCCAGGCAACCATAGGATTATTGTAATCTGTTAATCCCAGAAGTCAATTTCAAAAACTTGCAGGAGATGGGATATACTTCTTCTTTTTCTTTCCCCTAAGGAATTAATTTTCTTACATCCACAGAGGAGAAATTCCTGACATGAACAAGATTATAGATCGTGATGACCTAACTATTATGAAACGAGCCATCTATTCCACCCAGGTGTGTTTTTTCTGCAATGCTTTTCAAAATTCATCACTGTTATTTGAGCAGGAAGGCATATATTTTTGTCTCATCTACAATGAGTCAATAGAAGAGGATATTTGTTGCACAGGGGTTGAAGTAAGGGGTCCTTGATGGTCTCTGAACTTGGTTGTTTTCTTGCAGACATTTCATGACCCAACTAGGTAACATCATCGGTGTTAGAAAGGAGTGGGTTTTGCTCTTTGTTCACATACTAGTGGCTTGCCCTGTAAGTGTTGATGGTGGTGTTCTTGGTGGTTCCTTGATTAGGCTGTTGTTTAGTGTTGGATTGTTTGTCTGAATTGTTAGTTCCTTGATTGGGGTATTGTTTAATGCTTGCTTGTTGGTCTACTATTAATCTTGGTGTTAATCTCTGCTTATCTGGGTGTTAATGGCTGGCAAAGAGGTGTTGTGGTCTTTTAGTCTCTTTTGAATGGTATGTAGATGTGGTTTATCTCTATGTGCCTGTTGATGACTGATTTGTCCGAGTGCCAGGCTTCCGGGAATTCTCTAGCATTTTTGGATTTAACTTGATCTAAAGCAGGGGTCTTCAAACTTGGCCCTTTTATGACTTGTGGACTTCAACTCCCAGAATTCCTCATCCAGGCATGCTGACTGAGGAATTCTGGGAGTTGAAGTCCACAAGTCATAAAAGGGCCAAGTTTGAAGACTCCTGATCTAGACACTAAATCAGCTATAGCTGGTTCCCATGACAGAATATTCCCTTGGCGCCAAAAGCAGTTATGCCGCAGAAAAGATTCCCAGCATATTTTCCACCTCTTCCGATGGGCTGACTGGAAGCTTCTACAAAGCTCCACACACGTCTGCCCCCAGTTTGAAGGAGTTTAACCCAGGCATCAATTTACATGTTTAATGCACTTTGGGCCTATATAAAATGCATGTCAGAACCCATATTCTAAGGGGGTTCTTTTCTATCTTTAACTCAAACTCTACTCTCTCTATATTTCTGGGTTCTGTCATGCCCTGGATGGGAGGAGGGGAAAGCTCTGATTTCCTCTATCACTACCCTGCATACTTTTTCTGTGAACTATCTCTTCCCTTGATGTCAGCTAGAAAGAGAGGGGAGAAGAAAGGAATGTGCCTCTGGCAACTGGCTTATCTCCGCATTCAGAGGAGAAGGTGTGAAAAACCGACAAAACATCGCTGCAACCCTGAGACAGCCTGGCGTTATCTGCTCTTTCCCACAACGGACCTAACACCTGGGATTGGCCCATGTGAACTGACCTGATGAACTTGGGGTGGGGTTTGCTTGGGACATCTTTAACTTATTGATCTGAGCGGGAAACCCTCAGATCCTGTCTAGTATGCCTGCTATCAGCGTCTCCTAATAAAAGTTCCTTTTGGAAGAAACCGCTTCCACGAGTTCTGCTTCCTTAGGATGAGGTTTTGAAGTAGGTCCTGACAGTGGGCTTCTTTCATTTTATTGCAGCGGCAGAGCCTCCCACCCGTGACAACACACAACATGATCGATGACTCTGGCGATCCCATCCTGAGCACCATCAGACGGATCGGTTTGTTCAATAATCGGACGGATCGAGTTAAGGTATTAAGATGAGCTTCTTGTCTCTCCCTGTTTCTTGGAGTAGACATGGTCTTATAAGGCTACCTACCCCAGATGAAGACAATTCCCGAAGAAGGAAGGGCAGGATTCCCCAGCCCAAATCAGCAAAATCCCACAGACCACACTGGCTCTATAGTTAGATTCAGAATTATCTGTGGGAGGGGGAAGTGAAAAAAAATCAGGATGGCTGTCAGACCTGCCCCAGTGTAATCCCTTAGTGAAGAAAATCTCTTGACTCTATTTGGTTGAAGTGAAAAGTACTTTTATTAAGAGATGCCTGCTGAGGTAAAGTCAGGTGGAATCTAAAGTTCCCACACAACAATACAGAATTATTCCCCTCGGTTCTCCATCCCTCCCCCCATGTCCAGTCCATCTTTAGCCAATCCGACATCCCTGAGAAGTTTGGGAACGCTGAGGTGTTTAGGCTAATGAAATTCCACACTCAGGGCAAACGGCCTTGAAGATGCCTGGCATGCACCAAATTCCCTACTGCTCTGCTCTTCTTCAACTGTTCCCACCATAGAATGTAGAGAATTATTGCCCATGTGTTTCTCCCTCCCTTTCCTGGTGCTTTGATGGCAGAATGCCAACGAGGTGCCAAGCCGAAGATGGTGGATTCGACAAGGGGAGCTGCAACCCAATGATAGAAGCCCCCCATTTCTTTTTATGTGCAATGCAACATATGTGAAAAGGGAATGGAGCTTCAGTCATTCACTGTGGAGCCAGCTTGGTCTGGGGGTTAAGGCGTCAGGTTAGAAAGTGGGAGATTGTGAGTTCAAGTCCCTTTTTAGGCATGAAAGTCAGCTGGGCGACGTTAGGCCAATCCCCAGGAGACTGTGAGTTCTAGTCCCACCTTAGGCATGAAAGCCAGCTGGCTGACTTTGGGCCAATCCCCAGGAGACTGTGAGTTCTAGTCCTGCCTTAGGTATGAAAGCCAGCTGGGTGACTTTAGGCCAATCCCCAGGAGACTGTGAATTCTAGTCTCGCCTTAAGCATGAAAGCCAGCTGGCTGACTTTGGGCCAATCCCCAGGAGACTGTGAGTTCTAGTCCTGTCTTAGGCATTGTTGGATTCATTGTCTAGTTGAAATAACTAGACTTCCAAGAGAAAACAATGGTAATTTAGTTGTACTACTTTGCAAAGAGGGTGTTCCTCCTGCACACAGGAACAATGGACACGCCTTAAATTATCAATATTCTTTCTTTATATTCCCTATTGCGGTTACTAATTTACCTCCCACTTTTTCTTCATTGGCTTAGTAATCATGTCATCACAACCTATCCGAAGATCCTAAAGCAGACATGTCAAACACAAGGCCCGGGGGCCGGATGCGGCCCACGAAGTGGTTTCCTGTGGCCCGCAAAGCCATCCTGGAAACAGTGAGGGAACGGCCCCCAGTGGCTTGGCCCTGGCCCAGGCCGGCCGGGAGCCAATGTACAATTTTGTGGTGGCCATCTATGCTGAAATGCATTCAATCTTAGCTCCACAAGGCCGTCTGGAAACAGCGAGGAACCAGCCCCTGCCGTGTCGGCCCTGCCCCCTGGGTGCATGCTGGGGTGGTGTCACCCTTTGTGAGGAATGAAGAAATGCACCATCCGCTGGAAGTGGCCAGCAAATGTTCCTCACCTACTTCACATATCTGGCTTGATGGGCTCTGCCCTGGTCCCACCCCTTTCAGCCAGAGACCCTCAGATCTGTCCCACTCCTGCCCAGGCCCCCACAGGCACCCTTGACGATGTAGAGCTGGCCACGCCCACCCAGTAGGCCACACCCACTCCATCCATGCCCACCCAGTAGGCCGCACCCACCCTGGCCACACCCACCCAGCCCCCCGAGGGCAGCCACAATGCTGATGCGGCCCTCAATGAAATTGAGTTTGACACCCCTAACCTAAAGTGAATACATTATCTCCGCTTCCAATTACATCTTCCATTACTCTAATTCTATTGCCCCCTGCCCTTATTTACAAATTATCTTTTATGACTACTAGTTCCTAGGGGTTGTCTCTAGAGTACAGTAACTATCATATCAGCAAATTCTGGTTAAGACCGGTCTTCAGCATAGCTGAGACCTTCCTAGATACAATACTCAAGTTTCAGCTAGGCTCATGAGATTAAAATATATTCAATGCATTTCTTCACAGGCTAGCATGTCTTCCAGTTCTGTAGAAACAATTAGCCCCTTTTTCCCCACAGGCATGAAAGTCAGCTAGACGACTTTGGGCCAATCACCAAGAGTTCAAATCCCCTTTTAGGCATGAAAGCCAGCTGGGTGACTCTGGGTCAATCACCAGAAGACTGGGAGTTCTAGTTCCACTTTCAGCATGAAAGTCAGCTAAGTGACTTTGGTCCAATCGCCACTAAAAAAGTCAAGTCCATACTTCAGCCCACCCCACCTCACATCATCAAGATAACTGCTACTCTATTCTCAACTTGACATTCCTCCAGATCCTTGCTGGGAAAGTACCATGGATTTTCTTAACTCCTTCTTTCTCCTCTGCAGGTAATCCTGCATCCCGAATTTCTTTCTTCGACCAGCCCATTATTACCAATGGACTATGAAGAGTTTGTCAGAGGCTGCCATCTTGGAGTCTTTCCATCCTATTATGAACCCTGGGGGTATACTCCAGGTGAGCAGGCTGAATCCTGTTCATGCATCACTTGTTAATGATTGCCAGATACAGGTAGTCCTTCCTTCCTTCCTTCCTTCCCTCCCTCCTTCCTCCCTCCCTCCTTTCCTTCCTTCCTCCCTCCCTTCTTTCCTCCCTCCCTCTGTCCCTCCCTCCCTCCCTCCCTTTTCCTTCCTTCTTCTTTCTTCCTCCCTCCCTTCCTCCTCCTTCTTCTTTCCTTCCTTCCTCCCTTCTTTCCTTCCTCCCTCCTTTCCTCCCTCCCTTCCTCCCGTCTTTCCTTCCTTCCTTCCTTCCTTCCTTCCTTCCTTCCTTCCTCCCTCCTCCTTCTTCTTTTTTCCCTCCCTCCCTCCCTCCCTCCTTCCCTTCCTTCTTTCCTTCCTCCCTCTGTCCCTCCCTCCCCTTCCTTCTTTCTTCCTCCCTCCCTCCCTTCTTTCCTTCCTTCCTTCCTTCCTCCTCCTTCTTCTTTCCTCCCTCCCTCCCTCCCTCCCTTCCTCCCTCCCTCCCTCCTTTCTTTCCTTCCTTCTCCTCCTTCTTCCTTTCGTCCCCTCCCTCCCTCCCTCCCTCCCTCCCTCCCTCCCTTCCTTCCATCTTCCTTCATTTCCTGCCTCTTTTCCTCCGTCCCTCCCTCCCTCCTTCCTTCCAGTCAATATCTGTAGTGGTGCAAATTTGAAAACAAAAACAAAAAAACTGGCCGATTGTTTCAGTGAGGCTCAATAACTCCACCTTCTGATGTGATGCTGCACATTAGTTTGTTGGTCTGAAATTCTGTTCACTTTTCTCTTTTCGTAGCTGAATGCACCGTCATGGGCATCCCCAGCGTTACCACGAACCTGTCGGGATTTGGCTGTTTCATGCAGGAACATGTAGCTGACCCGGCTGCTTATGGTAACAAGATTCAGGTTACAACCAGGGGATATCATTCATGTGTCACCATCCAGTATGTGAACTACCATATTAGATAAGTGTTATCAGCATAACAATTGCTGTCCAGCCCTATTCTGATACCAAAGTTGGAAAATGATCTTGCGTTGACAGTTTTAATGCAGGCATTATTTTAGGCTGGCAAAAGGTGAGCTTATCATGTTTGAAAAGTCTAATGAAATGAAAGGAATAAGGGTGACATGATAGCAGTCTTCCAGGACTTGAGGTGCTGCCACAAACAAGAGGAGGTCAACCTATTCTCCAAAGCACCTGAAGGCAGAACAAAAAGCAATGACCATTAAAGAGAGAATTAAGGTAGAACTAAGGAGACATTTCCTGACAGTGAGAACAATTAATCAGTGGAACGACTTGCCTCCAGAAGCTGTGGGTGCTCCAACACTGGAGGGTTTTAAGAAGAGACTGGACACCCATTTGTCTGAAATGGTATAGGCTGGTTTCCTGCCTGAGCAGGGGGTTGGACTAGATGACCTCCAAGGTCCCTTCCAACTTTATTATTATTATTATTATTATTATTATTATTATTATTATTATTATTATTATTATTATTATTATTATTATACTGCGCGGTCCTGAGCTGGATGGGAAAAAGTGAAATGCTTCTGTAAGAGAAAGAGTGGCAGAATCTGGGGGAGGAGTTAAAAAGGGGGTCAGTCTATGTAGAGTCTCCTGATCAAGCAGGGGGTTGGACTAGAAGATCTCCAAGGTCCCTTTCAACTCTGTTATTCTATGTTCTAAATTCAGTTGGGGGAAAAATTAAAAAGGGAAGAAAGAGAAGGAGACTGCAATTTGGCTAAACCAAAGTTGAATGTCCCTATTTTATGACAGAATGAATTGTGGAGATGTAGTCATTATTATGGGTAATAACTGATAGGACAGAGGCCTCCAAAGGTCCCAAAAGCAGCAACATGGCTTGGTGTCCAATCAACCCCAATTGTCTCTCTCAGGCGTTTACATTGTGGACCGGCAATTCCGTTCTCCGGATGAGTCTTGCAATCAGCTGACCCAGTTCCTGTATGCATTCTGCCAACAGTCAAGACGACAAAGAATTGTCCAGAGGAACCGAACAGAAAGGCTTTCAGATCTGCTGGACTGGAGATATTTAGGGAGAGTAAGTAAGGTGGATATATAGTCTTGGTTTAGATCAGGTGTATCCAACCTTGGCAACTCGTGGACTTCAACTCCCAGAATTCTTTAGCCAGACATGCTGCCTGGAGAATTCTGGGAGTTGAAGTCCAGAGCTATTAAAGTTGCCAAGGGTGGACCGATTTAGATTATTTTCTGGCAGGGGTGTCTGCAAAATGTAGTCCAAAAAGTCAAAGTTGTAGCCCAATTAATGTTTTGCTTGTTGTTTATGGGTGTTGCATTTTTGCAACTTTAATCTCATCTTGAGCTGTGGCTGATATCTTGACCAACGGATGGAAACCAATCAACGAGAGAAGCAGCCTAGAACTAAGGAGAAACTTCCTGACAGTTAGAACAATTAACCAGTGGAACAACCTGCCTCTAGAAGCAGTGAATGCTCCAACACTGGAAGTTTTCAAGAAGAGATTGGACAGCTATTTGTCCGAAATGGTATAGGGTTTCCTGCCTGAGCAGGGGGTTGGACTAGAAGACCTCCAAGGTCCCTTCCAGCTTTATTATTATTATTATTATTATTATTATTATTATTATTATTATTATTATTATTATTATGGATCATAGCACAGTCAGCCAGATGTTCAGACTGGATTTGGCATTTCGTCTACCTATCGAGTCCTTACCCAGGACCTGGGATAGGCAAATGTGGATGTTTGATGGTATTACAGGTATAATTGCAGAATGGAAGCAGTTCCTAGTAAGGCCGCCTTTTGCAATTGACTAATGGCAAATTTGTCAATGCCAATGGTGTTTAAGTGGTGCTCCAGTTGTTTTGGGATTATTATTATTATTATTATCGATCATCGCACAGTCAGCCAGATGTTCAGACTGGATTTGGCATTTTGTCTACCTATCGAGTCCTTACCCAGGACCTGGGATAGGCAGATGTGGATGTTTGATGGTATTACAGATATCGTCGCAGGATGGAAGCAGTTCCTAATAAGGCCGCCTTTTGCAATTGACTAATAGCGAATTTGTCAATGCCAATGGTGTTCAAGTGGTGCTCCAGTTGTTTTGGGATTGTTGTTGTTGTTATTATTATTATTATTATTATGGATCATCGCACAGTCAGCCAGATGTTCAGACTGGATTTGGCATTTTGTCTACCTATCGAGTCCTTACCCAGGACCTGGGATAGGCAGATGTGGATGTTTGATGGTATTACAGGTATCGTCGCAGGATGGAAGCAGTTCCTAGTAAGGCCGCCTTTTGCAATTGACTAATAGCGAATTTGTCAATGCCAATGGTGTTCAAGTGGTGCTCCAGTTGTTTTGGGATTGCACCCAAGGAGCCTATGACTATTGGTACTACCCTTGCTTGCTTTTGCCACAGTCTTTCTATTTCTATTTGTAGGTCTTTGTATTTTGTTATCTTCTCCAGTTCTTTCTCTTCTATTCTGCTATCTCCAGGCACTGCCACGTCCACTATCCAGACTTTTTTGTCTTTCTTATCGACAATTGTTAAGTCTGGGGTGTTATGTTGCAGGTGCTTGTCTGTTTGAATTCTGAAGTCCCAGAGCAGTTTAATTTTATCATTTTCTATGACTTTCTCTATTTTATGATCCCACCAGTTTTTGCTTACAGGCAAATGATATTTTTTGCAGATCTTCCAATGCACCATTGTTGCTACTTTGTCATGCCGCTGCTTGTAATCAGTTTGTGCAATCTTCTTGCAACAGCTTACCAAGTGGTCCACTGTTTCTTCAGATTATTATTATTATTATTATTACTATTATTATTATTACTATTATTATTATTATTTACCATACCCTGCAGACATCCTTCATTTTGCAAACTGCAGATATTAACATTTAATAGCTACACACTCTCTCTGTGTGTGTGATTAAAAACAGTTAAACTTTCTCTTGATTTGCATTTCAGAGTCCATGTTTATTTGGACTATTTAACTGTTTCCTCTTACAGTATTATATGCATGCCAGACACTTAGCTCTGAGCCGGACTTTTCCTGAAAAATTTGAGATGGAACCAAATGCCCCACCCAAGGTAATCGTTTTTAAATGAAAGCATTCACAGGCAAATAGCTGGGATTACAAACATGTCGCCTTTTGTAGAGAGATACAGGGTGGTATAGTAGTTAATGGCACCAGGTGAGAAACCAGGAGACAGCGAGTTCTAGTCCTATCTTAGCTTTAAAGCCAGAGGGGTCACCTTGGGCCAGTCCCTCTCTCTCGTCCCTAGGAAGGAGACAATGGCAACCACTTCCAAAAAATGTTGCCAAGGAAACTGCAGGAACTTGTCCAGACAGTCAGGTGTTGACACTGACTAGAAGGCATCCTTCAAAAAAAATGAAGGAAGTTTTGTCCTTTCCTTTCGGTCATTTTTTCTTGCTTAGCTTAGCGCAGAGGTCCCCAACCTTTTGGGTATTGGGGACCAGTTCTGTGGAGAGAGGTTTTTCCGCGGACCGGAGGGCAAGTGATTTTGTGTGCTGCCTGCATCCCGCGGATGAGGCTTTGCTTGTTTGTGCGGCCCGATTGGGGACCCCTGTCTTAGCGTCTTTTGCTAAATATGCAGTTTTTGAGTATATTCATCCAAATATAGTTGTAATTTCATTACTAACAAGATGTCCAAAGGTGGAAATTATCTTTCTTTTCTTTTTTCTTTTCTTTTTTCTTTTCTTTTCTTTTCTTTTCTTTTCTTTTCTTTTCTTTTCTTTTCTTTTCTTTTCTTTTCTTTTCTTCTCTTCTCTTCTCTTCTCTTCCCTTCCTTCCTTCCTTCCTTCCTTCCTTCCTTCCTTCCTTCCTTCCTTCCTTCCTTTCTTTCTTTCTTTCTTTCTTTCTTTCTTTCTTTCTTATATATTGATATAAAACTTCCCAGAAGTATTTCAGATTTCCCAGGAGTAGCTAACTCAGTGGTTCTCAACCTTTTTAATGCCGCGACCCCCAACTGGTCATAAGTCGAGGACTACTCAACCGGTCGTAAGTCAAGGACTACTCAACTGGTGCAGCACCGTTTGCAGAATGGGACTTTTGGCGAGCTCAGCAGGGCAGAGACAGCCTGGACAATTCTTATTGGCTTTTGAAAGCCAATAGAATTAGACTCTATTCAAGAAAGTCTGTTCTATTGGCTTTCAAAAGCCAATAGAATAAAAGGGAGTAGCACAGCTAAGGAAAAGGGGGAAAAAAAGGCGGACTGCGTTGTTTGGCGACCCCCGTGAAATGGTCGTTCGACCCCAAATGGGGTCCCGACCCACAGGTTGAGAACCACTGAGCTAACTACTATGTTACAGATTGGACTCCAGCTATTAGCAATCTTAGTACAATCAATGGCCAGGGAACCATGAGGGTGGGTTAACCAGAACATCTGGGAAGGTACGTGTGGTCTACTCCCCCTTCCACATCTGTATATTTATTTTCTCTTTTTATTATTTTTTTACTTCTTTTACAGACTGAGGGTTTTTGTTATCCACGTCCTTCATCAGTCCCTCCCTCGCCTTCCGTTTCTCAGCACAACAGCCCCCACCAGAGCGATGAGGAAGTGGAAGATGATGAAAGATACGACGAGGAGGAAGAGGCTGAGAGGGACAGGCAGAACATAAAATCCCCCTTCTCCTTCACTGCTATGCCAACAAGGAAGAAGAAACAGCATGGGGAATATAGGAACTAATCCATCCAATCCTTCTTTCATGGCCTTCAGTTGGTGCTACTGCCTCAGATATATACATGTCAACCTAGAGGAGAGGTAGGCAACTTTGGCTCTTTTATGACTCGTGGACTTCAACTCCCAGAATTCCTGAGGCAGCCATGCTGAGGGGAAAGGGAGAGGTTTCCACGCTTAGCCATGCAGGCTCAGGAATTCTGGGAGTTGAAGTCCACAAGTCATAAAAGGGTCAAGGTTGCCTATGCCTGCTCTATATCATTCAGACAAATAGCTGTCCAGTCTCTTAGCTACAAGTTTGAAGGCAGCTTTTCCTCACTATTTTCTTTAATAGACAATTTTTATGCAGCTTTTCTCAGCGATGTTTTTCTTCATAGGAATATTAGTTAAAGGCCAACTATTTTCTGTATATGACAGTGGTAGGCAACCTTGGCTCTTTTATGACTCGTGGACTTTCAACTCCCAGAATTCCTGAGCCAGCATGGCTCAGCTTGGAAACTTCTCCCTTTCCCCTCAGCATGGCTGGCTCAGGAATTCTGGGAGTTGAAGTCCACCAGTTATAAAAGAGCCAAGGTTGCCAAACCCTGAGCTAGAGGCTAGAGAGCTATACTGGACAGTCAGGAAATATCAGGGAATCCTGCCAGAACCAAATATCAAATTCAATCATTTGAATTCCTATTTTTTCCTATTGTAATTCTGATGATGTTTTTTTTTTTTTTTTAAATTTCATCTTCCTCTTTGGAGTTAGAAGACGACGGCATTAAAGATTAAAGATCAGGATCGCCTCTCGACTCTTGCTCTGAAATTGTTGAATATCTTGAGGCTGCTGGAAGTCCAAGGGGTTTGTGGCTTGTACATTTTTAGGCAGAGAAAACCACAGTAGATTGAGTCACCGGTGATACTGTCATTATATTGTAATTGTACATGGGCAAAGTCTGAAGAGTCAGGTTATGGGGGTAGAAAAGTCAGATCTTCCAAAGCCTTTCAACCGTGAGGACTCGATGCTGCCTTCAGACACGGGGAAAACGTCTACCTCTGCATCAGGAGTGTCCGACTTCGGTAGCTTTAAGACCTGCGGACTTCTAGTCTAATGAAAAGAAGAACTAGGAGTGACATGATAGCAGGGACTGCCACACAGAAGAGGGGGGGGGTCAACCTATTCCCCAAAGCACCTGAAAGCAGGACAAGAAGCTATGGATGGAAACTAATAATAATAATAATAAAGTTGGAGGTCATCTAGTCCAGGGCTTTTCAACCAGTGGTACGGGTACCACCTGTGGTACATTGGCACCTGGCAGGTGGTACACGACCATCCTAGAAAAGTGGTAGCGGGGGAGGGGAATAAGCTGAACCGGTGGTAGCACCACACAAGCCTGAGGGATAGTTGGAGCTGCAGGGCTGTCAGGGCTCAGTGGAAGTGTCAGGATCAGCGCCAGGCTCCAGCTGTAGCTCGGCGCTGATCTTGGTGCTTCTGCTGAGTTCTGAAGAAGCACCAATCAGCTGGAAAGCAGCACTGATCCTGGCATTCTGCTGAGCCCAGAAGAAACACCGATCAGCTGGAATGTTGCAGCATCTCCAGGATCTTGTGATTTACATTCAGATGCTTGGCAACTGATTCGTATTTATGATGGTCACAGTGTCCCAGGGTCATGTGAAGTGACCAAAACCTACTGCAACCACCTAGCAGATGGGGGGAATAAAAACCAAACACCCCCCCCACCTCCGCTGCCAATCCTCAACAGAAATGCTCACAACAATGAAAACTTTGGACAAGGGGAAGAGTGCCGCCGTGTGGACAGGCAGGCGTCTTGCCTGGCTGTGGCTTGGGGGCACTTTTTTCAGTGCCATTGTAACTTCGAACAGTCACTAAGCGAACTGTTGTAAGTCGAGGACTACCTATACTTTATCACTTTTTTCCTTTTTTGTTTTTTTGGTCATCAAGATTTTGATACCTTGCTAGGCGATGGTGGTACTCAGATGTTGCCATATCCTAAAAATGGTACAATGGGTGAAAAGGTTGAAAAGCCTTGATCTAGTCCAATCCCCTGCTCAGGCAGGAAACCCTACACCATTTCAGACAAATGGCTGTCCAGTCTCTTGTTAAAAACTTCCAGTGCTGGAGCATTCACTGCTTCTGGAGGCAGGTTGTTCCACTGGTTAATTGTTCTGTCAGGAAATTCCTCCTTAGTTCCAGGTTGCTTCTCTCTTTGGTTAGTCTCCATCCGTTGCTTCTTGTCCTGCCTTCAGGCGCTTTGGAGAATAGCTTAACTCCCTCTTCTTTGGGGCAGCCCCTGAGATATTGGAACCCTGCTATCATGTCCCCCCTCGCCCTAATCAAGAAGATAAGCAACCTAGAACTAAGGAGGAATTTCCTGACAGTGAAAATAATAGTAAAATGGATTGCCTCCAGAAGTTGTGGATCCTCCATCACTAGAGATTTTAAAGAAGAAATAGGACAGCCATTTGTCTCAAATAGTACAGGGGGTTGAGCAGGGGGTTGGACTAGAAGACCTCCAAGGTCCCTTCCAACTCTGTTATTCTGCTAATCTTTGCCCAGAAATTCACCTTAAAGTCAGGAAAATTAAAACCCCATCACCATTTAATAGATGTAATTTAGACAAGGAAAATCTAGAATCTTTCCCAGAAAAATGTTTACTATCTTATCAAGCAGTTGTAACAGTATTAAAATAAGAATGCCTCTGAGTCGGTATCTCAGTCTTGAACATTTATTTTTATGGTATTTACAGTATTTTTCCTCATAATCCCAATAAGACTTTTATACATCTATTTACATCAACATTAAGATAAACAATTTGATATATTTGCATCCCTAAATGAAAAATGCAATGGGAAATATATGAGACATAATCCATTTATTTGAATAGTGTGATAATTTACTAAATGGTTGGACAATATCAGTCTGTTTTGACGTGGAGTAAAAGGAAGACAAACAACTGGCTAAATATAACTCTACAGCAAAGATTATATTAATTAGTAGTCAGATATTAAACATACAACCCCCAAAGCTGTTTAAAGAAACATTTGCTTTCTTCTAAATTTCATATGACCTTCCTTTCCCACGCTTTCCCATTTCTGGACTATTTCTTCAAAATATTTGAAGAATCTACCCTACTTCCCAATGAAATAGTTCTAGTAAGATTTAAACTATAAAATATTTAAGTAGAAGACCTTTTCTCACACAGCTTATCTTTTATTCCAAAATTCATACTGCCTGTTGTAACAAAAACATTTGAGTATTTTGTCACATACCAGCCAGCCACAGATAACCACTTGTTATCAATAACAATAATTCCAATATTTAAGATGGTGCCCCAAAGAAGAGGGGGGCTCAACCTATTCTCCAAAGTACCTGGAGGCAGAACAAGAAACAATGGATGAAAACTAATCAAGAAGAGAGAGAGCCAACCTAGAACTAAGAAGAAATTTCCTGACAGTGAGAATAATTAATCAGTGGGACAACTTGCTTCATTCCAGACATTGTGGGTGCTCCAACACAGGAAATTTTTCAGAAGAGATTGGACAACCATTTGTCTGAAATGGTGTAGGTTCTCCTGCTTAGACTAGAAGACATTTCTTCCAACTCTTGTTATTCTATCTGTTTAGCAATTAGTTGCATATTCCATATTAGGCAATATTTACCTAAAGTTGCCTTGAATCACGAAATGGGGAGCAAATAAATTTGATAATAGTAGCAGGCGCCTTGGGTGCAATCCCAGAACAACTGGAGCACCACTTGAAGACCATCCACATTGACAACAACATCACTGGTTAATGGTGAAAGGCAGCTTTATTTGAAACAGCTATGACTTTACCTTTAACACTATCAACCATCCTCATCTGCCTATCTTGGGTTCTTGGGAAGGATTCAATAGGTGGACAAAAATGTCTAATCAAGTCTAAACATCTGGCTGACTTGTGTGACAAAACACGATAAAAAAAATAGTAGTAAGTGCCTTGTGTGCAATCCCAAAACCTCTGGAGCATCTTTTGAACCCTTTGTTTGGCATTAACAAAGTTCCCATCAATCAATTGCAAAAGGGAGATTGACTTGGAATAGCTGACATCCTGTGATGAGACCTTTAACACTATCCAATATGCACATCTGCCTATTCTAGATCCTGAACTGGCTAGGACCTAGGCCAGGGGTAGGCAACCTTGGCTCTTTTATGGCTCGTGGACTTCAACTCCCAGAATTCCTGAGCCAGCCATGCTGAGGGGAAAGGGAGAGGTTTCCATGCTAAGCCACGCTGCCTCAGGAATTCTGGGAGTTGAAGTCCACGAATCATAAAAAAGGGCCAAGTTTGCCTACCTCTGACCTAGGTAGACAAAAATACCAAATCCAGTCTAAACATCTGGCTGACTAAATGACAAACCATAATAATTTTAATTATTAGTATCCTCCCCTAAATGAGACTATAATGCTTCTCACAAACACTGGATTGTACGGGTGATTAGCTGCCATTTGGGAGCTCATAGAGGGGAAAAAAGCAGATTTTCTCCAACTAACAAACACTGCGCTTAATTGGATAAACAGCATAGATATTTATAGAACACTTATTACATTCTCATGAACCAACATATTTCAAAATGTAATCTATAACTTATACGTAGCTCCTTGAATTCTTCATACCTTACAAAATAAATTCAGAGAGTTATTCACCTCAGGATGCCATCTTTGATCTTAATACATTCACAAAACTCAATGGAAAGTAAAAAAAATGGATTTTGAACATAACAACAGCACATCAATATATGTATAAGTTGGGAAAAAATGCCTTTAATTGTTTAGTATTGATATTGCAGAATGATTGACATTGAGAAGATGTTGACCAGCCACCAGCTCCGGTATGTTAGGGAAGGAAGTTGAGACAATGAACGAGAAAAATGGTCTGGGACAGAATATATTTTCCTTTTAAATTCACACCATATAATTCCCATTTAAGGTTGACAATCTTTCACCAGTTTAATAGACCATCAGCAAAATATCCGGGCCTCTCTGGAGTCTTTTGTTCATCTTCTAAAGCAAACAGAAACAGTGATTATGATGAGTTGCACTCAAAGGACCCCTTCCCATTACCAAGATTATCTAGGCATGAACTTCACATATCAGAGAGATTTAAATCTTACATTTTCTCCAAGCCCTCAAAGACAGCTTCTACAGGTAGTCCTCAGCTTATAACAGTGTATTTTCTGACCGTTCAAAGTCACGGCGGCGCAGTTCGTTTAATAATTGCAGTGATTTGTTAACAACTGTGGCAAAAAAGGTCATGAAATAGGGTGCAATTCGGTTAACAGCCCCTTGGAAGGAATACAGAGAAGAGCAAGAAAGATGATAAGGGGATCTGGAAGCTAAACCATATGATGAATGGTTGGGGGAAACTGAGAACGTCTAGTCCAGGGGTGGGCAACCTTGGCTCTTTTATGACTCGTGGGCTTCAACTTCCAGAATTCCTGAGCCAGCCACGCTGAGGGGAAAGGGAGAGGTTTCCAAGCTGAGCCATGGCTGGCTCAGGGATTCTGGGAGTTGAAGTCCACGAGTCATAAAAGAGCAAAGGTTGCCTACCCCTTGTCTAGTCTAAAGAAGAGAAGGACTGGGTGATATCCTAGCAGTCGTTCAATGTTGAGGGGCTGACACAGAGAAGAAGAGGTCCACCAATTCTCCAAGGCACCTGAAGGCAGGACACGAAGTAACAGGTGGAAGATCATTAAAGAGAGAAGCAACCTAGAACTATGGAAGAATTTCCTAACAGTGAGAACTATTAATCAGTGGAAGGGCTTGCCTCCAGAATTATGAGTGCTCCATCATTTAGAGGTCTTCAAGAAGAGATGAGACAACCATATGTCTGGAATGGTAGAAGGACTCCTGCTGCAGGTTAGACTAGAAAACCTCCAAAATTCTGTTGTTCTGTGTTCTATCCTCCTTCTCCTCCTCCTCCTCCTCCTCCTCCTCCTCCTCCTCCTCCTCCTCCTCCTCCTCCTCCTCCTCCTCCTCCTCCTCCTCCTCCTCCTCTTCTTCTTCTTCTTCTTCTTCTTCTTCTTCTTCTTCTTCTTCTTCTTCTTCTTCTTCGTCTTCTTCTTCTTCTTCTTCTTCTTCTTCTTCTTCTTCTTCTTCTTCTTCTTCTTCTTCTTCTTCTTCTTCTTCTTCTTCTTCTTCTTCTTTTTCTCCTTCTCCTTCTCCTTCTCCTTCTTCTGCCATATCCATTATCGGACATTGGCGATCATGTAGGCGATCCTGTTTTTATCAGCAGCTGCACAAAAAAAGTGCTGCTGAGTTTTGTCCAAACCAGTCCCTTAGATTATGAAGCCATGATGTTCTTCTTCTGCCTGGACCTCGTTTGCCTGCAATCTTTCCCTGGAGGATTAAATGGAGTGTGCCATATTTTTCTGGGTGTCGCATCACATGTACGAAATATTCTAACTTTCGTTTTTTAATTGTTTTGATGATTTCCCTTGCCTTTCCCAGGCAGCTTATCACCTCCTGATTTCTGATCTTGTCAACCCAGCTTACACGTAACAACCGCCTGTAAATCCACATTTCAAATGCTTCTAGTCGTGTGTTGTTCTTCTGAAGCCGTTCCAACCAATATGGTCTCCGCCTTCAGTCAATACTCGGGAGCCAGCTGCCACTCACCAGGCTTGTTGGTCCACGGGAGGTATTTGATTCCCTCCAACCCGCCATTACAGCATAAAAGCCATAATGGGTAGGGTCCCCCAATCTGCCACCTGGGGACGCGCTCTGTGGGGGTTTCAGGCTCCCCCTAAGAGGTTCTATCCTTAGGAATGAAAATTCTGGTCCCAACTGTCCCAACTAAGTCAAGGGCTACCTGTATGGAGATCATCTGGGCTAGGAGAAAATAATTGATCCATAGTCAACCAAGAAGTTCCATTCTTCCCGGGCAACAAAATAATCACCCCATTTCAAAACAGCTGGTATGGACAAATGTACCCAAGCAGACTCAAAATTTTTGTGCTAGCTAAGTGGAAGACTGATTCCTAGTGCATCCTGTTGAAGAACCAAATTTGATATCCATTCATTCATTCATTCATTCGCTACAGCCACTCATCTCAGTCAATGACTGAATAGCTTACAATTACACACACACACACACACACAAACAAAATTAAAAATATTAAAAATACTTCAAAACAATAAAAACATAAAAATATACCAGGTGACCCCAATACTTTCAGAGGTACAAAGAATTTCCTTCTCCCTTTGGTGCCAAACCCCATTTCAGCTGTGAATTCCACAACTTAAAGATATTTTAATGTAATTTACTGGATGGCTACAGATGTTTTAGTCACTGTATTAAAATTCATATAATCATCGCAATCCTGCGGAAGACCAATCGGCTTAATAAATGCTCTTCAAAAATTAAAGTGAAGCCACCCTTTTTTTTTGCATTAACAGGAAGTTTTTGAGCTTTCACCTTAGTAGAAGTAGTGTACTCACCTTCGTTTTGCATCTTCTGCAGGGAGGAAAGAAACACCAGTGCAGCTTCAGAAAGTGTTAAAGGATTCACATTCTGGCTGCTGGTTTCTGCAAAGGAAAAAAAAAATCTCTTTAATTTCACAACATAGGAATAACAGAATAACAGAAAACAGAGTTGGAAGGGACTTTGGAGGTCTTCTAGTCTGACCCCTTGCTCAAGCAGAAAACCCTATTCCATTTCAGACAAATGCTAGTCCAGTCTCTTCTTTAAAACCGCCAGTGTTGGACCACGCACAACCGGATATGAAGAGACTCAACCGTAGTTTCAATTGTGAAACAGTGATCATCCTAGACCTAGACCAAGAGTAGACAACCTTGGCTCTTTTATGGCTCGTGGACTTCAACTCCCAGAATTCCTGAGCCAGCATGGCTCAGCTTGGAAACCTCTCCCTTTCCCCTCAGCATGGCTGGCTCAGGAATTCTGGGAGTTGAAGTTCACAAGTCATAAAAGAGCCAAGGTTGCCTACCCCTGACCTAGACCAAACCTAGCCCAAAAACATTAGGGAATTTGTCTCAAAGGTACTTTTTCAAAATGAAGTTCCAAACCAATGAAGATTCTTGGATGAGAAACAAAATGTCTTCTTCCCGGAAAAAAAAAACAGTCCAGTTGCCTTTTGAAAAAGCACCTTTGAGACAACTATGACCTGGATGACTGAAAATCTCCACAGACACTAGGAAATTTCTAGAAGCCTGGCACTCAGACACATAGACATAAATAATATATAGAGACTATGCCAGGGGTGGGGAATCTTGGCTTTTTTTATGACTGGTGGACTTCAACTCCCAGAATTCCTGAGCCAGCCATGCTGAGGGGAAAGGGAGAGCTTTCCATGCTGAGCCATGCTGGCTCAGGAATTCTATGACTTGTGGACTTTAACTTCCAGAATTCCTGGGCCAGCATGGCTCAGCATGCAAACTTCTCCCTTTCCCCTCAGCATGGCTGGCTCAGGAATTCTGGGAGTTGAAGTCCACGAGTCTTAAAAGAGCCAAGGTTCCCCACCCCTGGACTATGCAAAAGACCTCCCCACAGCTATCAGCACCCAGATGAGCTTAGATTAAGTCCAAGATTAACATCAGAGGTGTTACGTCCATCAAGTGTAAATAAGTGTATGCCATGCACGCAGTACAACTGCATTGCTTTTATTTTGAAAGCAACTTTTTTTTCCCATTTAAGTACGTGCGTGCATGCATGCATGCGCCTACGCTCCTTCACCAGCCCTATGGTTTGGCCCGTCACAACAGTTCCAGTTTCTCATGTGGCCCTTTGGAAAAATTAAGTGCCCTCCCCTGCTTCAGAGTCCTTGGCCTGGGAATTCTGGGAACTGAAGTCCCAAGGCAGATGAAGGAAGACTGCCTTGGGACTTGGCTGGGGAAGCTCACTTTTTGATAAAGGTGTCATCCACATCTCCGGGCCCTCTTACCTTGCATCAACCTGTCATACATGGCCTTTTGCTGGCTCTCCTCTGAGATAAACCGACGGCCTTCTGGAAACCAAAAAAAATGGAAAGGTCATATGACCTCTTCCCTGAATCAGAAGAAGCTTCAAATCCAAAAATGCCAGGGAATTTCTAGAAGCCTGGCACTCTGACAAATCAGCCCTCAATAGACACATAGACGTTAACAACATCTGTAAACTATACAAAGGAGACAATCAACCCAGCCCGAAAGAGAAAAAGACTCCAGCACCTCCCCACCAGTAATCGGCAGCCAGATCAGCATAGATCAGGGGTCTTCGAACTTGGCCCTTTTATGACTTGTGGACTTCAACTCCCAGAATTCCTCAGTCAGCCTCCATTTTGTTTGTTAGATTTAAGCCAGGGGTCTTCAAACTTGGCCCTTTTATGACTTGTGGACTTCAACTCCCAGAATTCCTCAGCCAGGCATCTTGGCTGAGGAATTCTGGGAGTTGAAGTCCACAAGTCATAAAAGGGCCAAGTTTGAAGACCCCTGGCATAGATTAACTCCATGGTCAGCTTCAGACCAGCAGACAAATAAACAACACCCCAATCAAGAAACTGCCGAAGAAGAATCTCTAAGACCGCCCCCAACCATCCAGACATCAGAATATAAACTGACAGCAAACCACACTCCTTACTAACACTGATGATGTTACCTAATTGGGTAATGAAACGTTTGTAAGAAAACAAACAAGCTCAGAGAGCACCAAGGACCCCTGAAGCTTCAAATTGTCTAGTACCTTAGGAGGAAAATCTGACATAGATTTCAATTTACTGGATAGATTCTTAGATTATAAATTAAGTAATGGATTGATTGCTATTGCATCCAACATTTGTGTTTCGTTATACATACAGGTTGCCTCGTTCAGTAACTGAATCATACAGCACACATTCCCAGTTGCAATGGTGATGAAAAAGTAAATTTTTGACCCATCTTCGTGTTTATGGCCTCTGCAGGTCTATGCAGGCAGTCCTCAACTTACAACATTTGTTTTTGAAAATTCAAACTTACAATGATCACAGAAAACAATTACAGCCTATCCTCAGAGTTACAATTGTCACACCACCCTCAGAATCACGGGATTTTGAGCCGTGGTGGCTCAGTGGTCAGAATGCAGTATTGCAGGCTGACTCTGCCAACTGCCAGCAGTTCGATTCTTACCAGTTCAAGGCTGAGTCAGCCTCCTATCCTTCCACGATTAATAAAATGAGGACCCAAATTGTGTGGGGGGGAATATACTGACTCTGTAAATTGCTGAGAAGCACTGTGAAGTGATATATAAGTCTAAGTGCTATTGCTAAGCGCTATCTTACTTAAGGTGCTTGGTAATCAGCTCACATTTACAACAGTTGCAATGTCTTGCAATCACACAATTACAATTTGCGACCTTCCCAGCCATCCTCTGACAAAACAAGTCAATTGGAAGGAGCATTTGCTTAACAGCCAGGCTACTTAATGACTTAATGACCTCAGTGATTTGCTTAATGACCACAGTAAAAATGGTCGTAAAAATCAGGTGTGGTCATGTAATGACTGGCTTAACTACTACATTGCTTAGCTACCAAATTCCAGTCCAATTGTGGTCATAAATCAAGGACTTCCCGTAAAGCAAAGGAAAGCTGAAGTAATATTATAAGCCCAGTTGGAGCTTCACTCATCATTTGTCGTCTTAACAACCACGTTTAGCTAAATGAGAACTGCCTGTATTTCCATTTTATGAGATAGCTCAAGAAAACGTTGTTGAACAAGGCATGAAGCAGGCCCTGTGGTGAAAATTAAGTCATAATTCATGGGTTCACACTATGTGCTAAACCATAATATGTTCATTTACAGGTGGTACGCTGGGCTTTGTAATCTGGGATGAATGTAGTAGCCACTGCAAAACACATTTTTGATTCCTATTGCCAACATTTGACTGTTGTTAAAAGTTCAAGGAAATCCCACTTCTTGCCCCTTTTCTACAGATAAATTGGCACTGGGACTTACGGGCACCCTTCAAATAGAGCATAGCCTGAGGAGTCCAGTTTCTTTTTTGGAAGTGACCCTTTGGATGAAAATGAGAAAAAAAAAACACAAATGATGAATATAACCAACAAACCTGGCTTCTATCAGTGCACAAACTCCGCTTCAAGTTTTAGTTTCCCTGTCCTTCCCGATGGTCTCTCTCTCTCTTTCTCTCCCTCCCTCCCACTCTCTCTCTCTCCCACCTCCTCTCTCTCCCTTCCTCCCTCCCTCCCTCTCTCCCTCTCCCTCCCTCCCTCCCTCCCTCTCTCCCTCTCTCCCTCCCTCTCTCACCCTCCCTCTCCCTCTCCCACCCTCCCTCTCTCCCTCCCTCCCCCCTCTGTCTCTCCCTCCCTCCCTCCTCTCTTCCTCTCTCTCTCCCTTCCTCCCTCCCTCTCTCCCTCCCTCTCTCCCACTCTCCCTCTCTCTCTTCCTCCCTCTCTCTCTCCCTCCCTCCCTCCCTCCCTCCCTCTTCTCTTCCTTTGATGCAGCTCCATTATGAAGAAGTTTGCACATTGCACAAACGTAAAGAGTTTACAACAGGGAAGCAACTAGCCAACGCAAATTTCTCCTTACCTGAGGAACACCCCAGGAAAAAGTGATGAACGATGCCAAAAGGTAGAGGGTCAAAGGACCATTCGCCCGTTTGTGCAGTCGCTAAAAATAGCCAAAGAAAACGTTGTGCTAAGCTCTCCCTTAGTGAGCAGGAAAACAAGTGTTCAGCTTTTCAACATTCAGAATGCATTTTTAGGGCATGCTTTGCTCCTATGAGCAATAACTCTTTATCTCCTCGATAAGAGTTTTATGGGCCTTAAAAGAGTCTTATGCAGTCCTTCCAAGATTGTCCAGATAAGGAAGCAGCTTTCATAAAACTAGAAAACTAGAACGAAACATTTTTTGGCAAGTCTGATTGGGCTTCCCCCCCCTCCCATGCCTGTTATACCCAAATGAATCAGGGAGAAACAGGCCTACATTTCTTCCTAATATTGCCTCCTTCTCCAGGACCTAAGGAAAGCTTCTGCTCATTTTATTGGTGTAGTGGTTTCAGAATACAGATCGTCCTCGAGTTATAACCATTTGGTGGTCATTTGAAATTACAATGGTATGGAATGACCATTTTTCACACGACCCCATGATCACGTGATCAAAATTCAGATGCTTGACAACTGGATCATACTTATGATGCTTGTAGTGTCCCGGGGTCATGTGATCCCCTTTGGTGACCTTCTGACAAGCAAAGCAAAAGGGAAGCCAAATTCACTTAACAACCGTGTTACTAACTGAGCAGCTGCAGTGACTCACAGTGGCAAAACTCACTGAGCCACTGTCTCACTTAGCAACAGAAATTTTGGTCGTAAAAATTTGGTCCATTGTGGTCGTGAGGCAAGAACTACCTATATTTCCTGTATTTCCTTTGAGAGCATCTCCATAACTCTCCACAGCAAACCATCTTCCATTCTTTTCTCTGCAGGGTAGACCAGCATAGTGGTTACTAACTTGAGCTTGGCTCTTGACAGGCTCACGACAGGCTATATTAGCATTTCTGGCATTCAAATAAACTAGTTTCCATTCTGTTCGCCAAGACAACATTCTTCTGCAGGTTGGCTTTTTCTAGATTTGCGAGATTTTCGCTCTCACAACCCAACTCACCATTATCACGTTTTTCTTGGCTGAAATTATTTCTAGCAATCATGGCTGAAAGGATATCAAGAGCGCTGGTGGTCCATTCTTGGCAGAGAGAGACTTTTTGTGATAAAGGCATAAAGTGGAAGATGAAAATATTTAGCTCTAATCTTAAAATGCATTTTATAAGAAATGGTGAAATAATTTCCTACGGAAGGTCCTACAACTTATTATACCGAAGCACGGTTATTGCAATTATGATCGAGGAGCAAAATTCTCTCCTGAATAATTAATTTACATTAATTGAATGACAGTATCACACGCATTCTAATCTTATGCATTATTTATTTGAAAATAAATATTTATTGGAAAAGTAGCATCTGTGTATGGACCAGGCAAAATTTAGGTATCTTTATGCTATGTGCTTATCTCAAAGGTGTTTTGGCTACATTATTGTGCCTGGAAACAACCTTACTAAACATAATGGGCTGACTTCTAATAAATGCAGCTCAGATTGTGGAGTTGCTTCATTTTGACTGAAACATGTTCTCTCCCCCTTTCCTTCTCTCTCTCTCTCTCTCTCTTTCTCTCTCAATATTTATGTGATGTCTATATGTATTTGGTAGTCCTTGACTTACAACCATTCATTTAGTGAGCATTCAAAGTTATAATGGTGTTGAAAAAAGGAACTTACGACCATTTTTCATATGACTGTTGCAGCACCCCCATGGTCCCATGGTTAAAATTGGGATGCTTGGAAACTAGCATGTTTTTATGACAGTTGCAGTGTCCTGGGGTCATAGAAAACCTTTTGTGACCTTCTCACAAGCAAAATCAATGGGGAAGTCAGATTGTTGCTAACTTAACAACTGAAGGTGATTCACTTAACAACTGTGGCATGAAAGGTTATCAAATGCAGCAAAATTCACTTAATAATTTGTCTTGATTAGCAATAGAAATTATTGGCTCAATTTTGGTTAAGTCAAGGACTACCTGTAAACACACACACACACATCCCCACACACTTACACACATCATACATATATAACTGGGCTTTCATGGAACAAATACTGAATCAAAAGTAACACACAATTTTAAGAAAATTATTTTTCTACCCAAGGGAAACTTTAAAGAGTGCAAAATTTAATTAACATAGATTTCCAATGAGAGAGAGGGAGGGAGAGGGAGGGAGGGGAGGGAGGGAGGGAGGGAGAGAGAGAGAGAGAGAGAGAGAGAGAGAGAGAGAGAGAGAGAGAGAGAGAGAGAGAGAGAGAAAGGGGGTGGGGGCAGGCTTCTTGTTTCTTGAAATGAGAGCAATTTTTGCTGTTTCAGCATCTAGTCCTATGGCTGATCCAGGCAACGATTAATTCTAGATGAACTAGATATTTAAGCACAATACGCTAAAATTTTTATCCAGTTATGCCCTTCATCTCGATTTTCATAACTTTCATCCTACTTAAAAGTGTAAATTTTCAAATAGAGATATAAATGATCTCATGTTAAAATCCAGCTTAGATTAATCTTTGACCAAGATAGAGGCAATAATATTTAAAAGTAACTCTTGCAGAATTCTGAATTATATATATATATATATATTGTATGTTGGACTTTGCAAATATCTCGTTAGACTGCTGACTATATTCTCTGGATTTCAATGACCATGATTCATAAAAGCCACTAGGGGGAAAATCTGATGTTCCACAAGTTAATACATACTTGATCATCTAGGAATCATGAAGAAATAACCATTATTCCTACATACCTTCATTTTCTGCCGTCCTGAAGATCTGCTCTTCGGGAGAATAGAGATTCTGAGAGACAGGTTATAATGAGATGGCATTTTTTAGGCTGGAAATCCTATTTAAGCCTTCCGAGTAGAAACGCCCTCCCCGTTGGAAGCAAAAATGAAGCATTCTGAAGGGACTCCTTGTCAAGGCGGTAGAGACTTGGCGCAATTGACATCTCCTGGAAAAGAGGGAGGGTGTTGTCTTCAGGGAAGGTCACCCAGGATTCTGACATATACATTTCCATCTTTAAACAAACACATCAGCATTCATTCGTAGCAATAAAGATATTGATCTTGCAAGATTGAGCTCCAAGGAAGACGTACGTAACATGTACACAACCAGGTGCCTACCTACCTTAGCAAACTGGACACTAATGCATTCTGCATTTGTAATCTGGAAAGAATGACTTGGCTATAGATTTGTGGGCACTACCTATATCGCCTCTACCTCAGCTTAAAAACAGGGGAGGGTTTTTCGCCAAAGCGAAAATAATTTGGCTGCTTATTACATCAAATTATCTGAAAATGAGCCCAACTATCTTTTCTCCCAAAGTTCCGTCCTTGTTTGTCCCCTAATTCCAAGACATCTTTATGTCCTATTAATTCTTTATCAGCCAAGACAATGAAGGAGATGTTGTATAAGCACGGGGAAAAATGTAATTTGTCTTATCCACATCCATCTGCATAGTGCTATGTTTCCAATGTAAAAAGATAAATGACAGTGGACCACATAAGTGGAAGACTACACACTACACACTAAAGGTATAAGCCAGGGGTCATCAAATTTGGCCCTTTTGTGACTTCTGGATTTCAACTCCCAGAATTCCTCAGCCAGTGTGCCTGGCTGAGGAATTCTGGAAGTTGAAGTCCATAAGTCATAAAAGGGCCAAGTTTGAAGACCCCTGGTATAAGCCATAGCAGAAGACAGGAAGGTTTCAGTTGCCATCAACCAGAATGTTCTCAAGAAGATGGTGAAGGAACAATAAAAGAGACACGGTCTCTCTTTCTCAGCTAAGATTATCAACTGAAGCCCAGAAGAATGATTTCTTTTAGGGAGGTACTTTACAAACCTCCAAACCACAAACCCCAATTTGGTGTTTTCATACGGCAACATGAATCAAATTTCAGCTCCTGAAATTCACAGAAGTGATTAAAATATTTTGATAGCCTCTTGATACCCTCAAGAGCAGAGGTTCCAAACCTTTTGGGTACCAGGAACCGGTTCCGTGGAGAGAGGTTTTTCCACAGACCAAAGGTGGTGTGGTTTTGTGTACTGCCTGCATCTCACGGATGGGGCTTTATGCGGACCGGTTGCTGGCATGCCGTGGCCCGGTACTGGTCCATGGAGTGGGGGTTGGGGCCCCCATGCTCAAGAGAAAGATAAAGACACGGAGATAAAGTTATAATAATGAATGGGGAAGTTACAGCTATACATATGCATCTTGGGGTGGAGAAAAGAACTTTATGAAAGCTTCTGATTGTATAATGTGTCAAAAGAAATTAACATTGGGGTGTCTCCATGCCTAATCATGCTTGGCTTAGCAGGTCCCAATTGATTTCAGTTGATTTGCTCTACTTATGACTAAGATGAAGTTTCCTTCCTGTTCCTTTTAGATAACTGCTGTCAAAAAGTGTTTGTCAGATACAGATCATTTCCCATCAGTCTTAATATGGACAAGACCTCAGCTTTGTCATTTAATCAATGATCCTGAAATCAATATTGGGAAGTGAAGAGCATCAAACAGCGGGGGCCCTTTGTTAAAGTCAACAACTGCACATAGTTTGTTCTGATGGAAAGGGCAGCGCCCATCTACTTGACATGCCTTGTCATAATACCAACGGCTATAACAACTTTTGGGGTGAACTTGTTTCCGAGTTTGAACATATTAGCTGCTCCAATAAACCCCAAACCCTTTCACAAGGAAACTCGAAGCTAGGTTCTCACACTGAACTAGCTTGTCGTATCAGTTGCTTTGGGGCAATGTTTTGTGTGAATCCATAAATCATGGATGCTGTTGCAAACAACCCCTGCATTCTAGTATATCCAACCATTTTATCTTGCTTATTTTGATTTTTTTTTTAAATATATTAATTTATGAACCTTAATAAAAATAGAAGCTATGTAAACCCTCCTAGCTAGCATGTAATACCTGTATGATTAGGGGACTCAAGGCTAAAACATATGAACAGTTAGAGGAATTGCATATGTCTAGTTTAATAAAAAGAAGGACTAGGGGTGATATGATACCAGTGTTCCAATATCTCAGGGGCTGCCCCAAAGAAGAGGGAGTCAAGCTATTCTCCAAAGTGCCTGAAGGCAGGACAAGAAGCAATGGATGGAAACTGATCAAGGAGAGAAGCAGCTTAGAACTAAGGAGAAATTTCCTGAGACTTAGAACAATTAACCAGTGGAATGACTTGCCTCGGGAGGTTTTTAAGAAGAGATTGGGCAACCACTTGTCTGAAATGGTATAGATTTGAGGCTTTTTTTTAATATGGGTTATATGAGTCTCAAATAAGTGTATAATTAATGTAATGTATTGAGTTAAATTTGAGAACTGAGTTGCTTAAACTGTGTAATAACAGTTAGCAGGCCACAAACAAGCCAGACTTTCTGTCTGCAGACTACTTGTTATGCATTTAAGCGGGAAAATACTGTGATCTTATTGGTGGCCGCCTTATAGGCTGAATGTATAAATAGGGGTGGAGCATGTGCTTGTTAGTTTCGGTTTTGCCTTTGCAATAAAGAGTGTTTTGTTTCACCTGCTGCCTCTTCAATGCCGCATAGAACAGCAAACAACATCTAAGTTTAATGTTTGGGGTTAGAAATATTTTTTTACTTTTGTGCTGTGATGTTGACCTGTTTTTATGTATATTTGGTTGCATGGAGTCCCTATGTTGAAATGGTCATACAAATTATTCAAATCATAAACACTGAACAGTCAAAGAAAAGATTAAGGAAACTAAAACTAAAAGAAAAATAGCGAAAGCTGCTTGGATTGTAGCAGGATACAAATGGCATAAATGCATAAAAGTAAAACAGAGAAAAAAGATAAGGCTCCTGCAAAATCAATATGTTACTTCTATCCTAAAATTTGTAATCAAATCTAGATTGTACAGAAACATAACAGAGTCTCAGTGAGGATGCAGATTAGAATGGAGACCTGACTATAGTATTTGTTTATTCAATTTATGTTTGCCAATTTCATTTTTTTTCCTTTCTATCCATGTGGTCTCATCTCTGGAATTAATCAAGTAATGAATATTGGGCACAGATGTTTAACACTCAGCCTAACACAAGTTCAACACATCCATCCATTTCACAGGTGGTTTTTTTTCATTTTGAAAAAACACCAGGGGGGCCTTGCTTGTATGTAAATTTGGGACAGCTTGATCAAAGTGATTAGAGTAATGAAATGCTTCAAGAACTGGCAATCAACCAGATCAGGGCTTTTCAACCTTTTCACCCATTGTATCACTTTTAGGATATGGCAATATCCGAGGACCACCAGTCACCTAGCAAGGTGTCAAAAACTTGATGACCCCCCCCCAAAAAAGGAAAAAAGTGATGAAGTACAGGTAGTCCTCAACTTACAACAGTTCGCTTAGTGATTGTTTGAAGTTACAATGGCACTGAAAAAAGTGCCCCCCAAGCCACAGCCGAGCAAGACACCTGCCTGCCCACCCAGTGACGCTCTTCCTCCTGTCCGAGGTTTTCATTGTTGTGAGCATTTCTGTTGAGGATAGGCTGGGGGGGGGTTGTTTGGTTTTTATTCTTCCCATCTGCTGGGTGGTTGCAGCAGGTTTGGTCACTGCACATGACCCTGGGACACTGTGACCGTCATAAATATGAATCAGTTGCCAAGCATCTGAATGTAAATCACAAGAGCCTGGAGATGCTGCAACATTCCAACTGATCGGTGCTTCTTCTGGGCTCAGCAGAAGTGCCAGGATCAGTTTTGCTTTCCAACTGATTGGTGCTTCTTAAGGGCTCAGCAGAAGCACCAGGATCAGTGCTGAGCTCCAGCTGGAGCCTGGCGCTGATCCTGGTGCTTTCACTGAGCCCTGACAGCCCTGCAGCTCCAGCCATCTCTCGCTCAGGCTTGTGCGGTGCTGCCACCGGTTCAGCTCATTCCCCTCCCCCACTACCACTTTTCTAGGATGGTCGTGTACCACCTGCCAGGTGCCAATGTACCACAGGTGGTACCCGTACCACTGGTTGAAAAGCCCTGAACCAGATTACTTTAGGAAGCAGAGTTGAAATGTAGAACAAAGTGAAGCAATTTAAATTTCTACTGAAAGCTGTTAAAAGATCTGGAGAACAATCACTACTTGCTATCACAGCTGAAAGATATCTCACAAGAAATTTACAACCCCAGTTGTGTTTGCACAAAAAACCAAACTCTGAATTGGCTTGCCAGATCAAGCCTGATTGCATTGGATCCCACAACATACACAAGCCAAAAACCAGTTTGTTATATTTTAGGTTAGAGCACTGGGCAAATAGACATGAGGCTAAAATTAGCTTAACTCTAGCTTACTGATTAAATCATAAGATGCAGACACACACAACTATTAAGAAAACATGGTGTCCAGGTCTGCTAAACTACATATCATATTTTGACTTACCATGATAGATGCAACAGAGCATAATTTAAATGTATGCCTATCCACCGACAACTTAGAAGAAAAATTATCTCATTTTTGAAATGTTTACTTTGCTTTCCACAAACCTTCTCAGGTGAACCATTTCCCAAGCAGAGATGACAAATCTTCCTTGGCTGATTTCTAGGCAGTAAAAACCACAGGAGGTGTTTCTGGAAAAATATATATATGATTGCCTAATTTGGTTTCCTAGCTAATTTAATAATAATAATAATAAAGTTGGAAGGGACCTTGGAGGTCATCTAGTCCAACCCCCTGCTTAGGCAGGAAACACTATACCATTTCAGACAAATGGCTGTCTAGTCTCTTCTTGAAAACTTCCAGTGTTGGAGCATTCACGGCTTCTGGAGGCAGGTTGTTCCACTGGTTAATTGTTCTAACTTTCAGGAAGTTTCTCCTTAGTTCTACGTTGCTTCTCTCCTTGATTAGTTTACGCCTGTTGCTTCTTGTCCTGCCTTCAAGCACCTTGGAGAATAGCTTGACTCCCTCTTCTTTGTGGCAGCCCCTGAGATATTGGAACACTGCTACGTCCTTCTCTTCATTAAACTAGACATACCCAATTCCAGCAACCATCCCTTACAGTATATGTTTTAGCTTCCAGTTCCCTAATCATCTTTGTTGCTCTTCTCTGCACTCTTTCTAGAGTTTCAACAACTTTTTTACATCGTGGTCCAATAATTAGTTTATTGGATTCCATCTATATCAACGATTTGGACGAGGGGATAGATGGGGAACTCATCAAATTTGCAGACGACACCAAGCTAGCAGGAATAGCCAACACTCCAGAAGACAGACTTAAGATACAGGAGGATTTTGACAGACTGGAACAGTGGGCGCTATCTAACAAAATGAAATTCAATGGTGAAAAAAGCAAGGTTCTACATTTAGGCAAGAAAAACCAAATGCACAGGTATAGTATAGGGGGTACCTTGCTCAATAGTAGCAACTGTGAGAGGGACCTTGGAGTCCTAGTGGACAATCACCTAAATATGAGCCAGCAGTGTGCTGCAGCTGCCAAAAAGGCCACACAGTGCTAGGCTGCATTAACAGGGATAGAATCAAGATCACGTGAAGTGTTAGTTGAAGCACTGGGATCCTACTGGAAGGCTAACTTAAGCATCAGCATAAAACTGATTTAAGTATGCAGATATTTTAGCTTAAAAAGCTACAAAAAATGTTTCCCTTTTATGAAAGAAGCAGCAAGTTTATTGTTTATCTGTCACCACCCCATGGCCCCTCTGCATTCAACAGCTGTCTGACAGGCAGATATTCAACTGATGTAGTTTTTCCCCTTGCCTGAAACCCGAACAGTGGGTCCTCGCAGCTTGTCCTACAGATATTAGCACACGTATCACATTCACAAAGAATTTTCTGAAATAAAACTTAGTATTTAGTATTCCAAAATAAACCACAGTTATCTAGGTTTGCACAATACCCTTTGCTAAACCAACCATTTACGATGATGTGTATAGTTGCTTGTCTTAAAAAAAAACTTTTAGAAACAGAGCTGGTGTCAAACCAAACCAAACATTTAACAGGATGCATGAAGCTGGTTGTCTTAAAAAAACCAACTTTGTTTAGGAAAAAAATGGATGTAATGATAGTTTGTTAGAATTAGGCCCACTAGAGAGGAACTCATGTGATAAGCATAAGAATGTAAAAACACTTGCTCCTTTTGGACTTTCAGCCTGAAACAGAAAAACAATGAAATCAACATATAGATTTGATATGAGCACAATGTATAGATTAAAAATGGAGATTACATTGCATTTGAATAGCAAGAGCAGAACTTGTTTTATTATCTACTGTAAAATAAATCATTCCTTTTTGTGTACTTTTGTTTCATTTTTACATTTTTTTATTCTATTTTTCTCTATCTGCTATTGCTCTCTATATTCTGCCTCCTTTCATTTTCTCTTATTTTCTGCCAGTTTATTTTTAAAAACCCAATTAAGTTATAGTCTTTAAAAAAAAAAATCCAAGCACTTCTCAGACATTCTGTTCAACAACCCAAATTACTCCATGTTAAACAAAAACCATATTAACTGGTTAATTGTCCCTTTCAAATGCTCACTTTCTGATGGAATATCCCCCATAGAAGAAAGGAGAAACACTATTTAAAAAGCAGGAAATTGTGGCTAATTAAGAAGCCAACATAACACCGGTATTTCTGGTCACATGACTCTATTTAGCCCCGCCCCTGGAATTCTAGTAAGCTTGAGAAATAAATTTGATTTTCTATTTTCAGAGCTTAATGTGGTTTTTGCAGGGTTATTTTGAGCCTGTTAGTTATTGCATGGGAAAAAAATGATAAAGAGTTTCCATTGGATGTTCCTGGGGATATGATATTGAGAGAATTTCAAAATTCAAAAATTTTATGGTGTATTTCTTGCAGTTTAAAGCCCAACATTTGTCTGTCTATGCAGGAAAGTTAGCAGTTGAGCCAAGAAATTCTGGTGGAATATTTGTTTTTAGAAAGTAAATTGCTGCCATTGTGCACTCGGTATGATCTTTTTACCTTAGCTGTTGAAAACTTGCAAGAAGGTTTCATTTTTTAAATGTGTTGGCCTATATGTCCCTGTGTGGAAGAAGATGTTGAGGTGTGTGTATGTCAAGTGGTGCAGAAAGCTGTTGTTACTTCAGGTGTATGTGTGGTTTTTTTGTTTTTTGCATTTCTGCCAGGGACCTGCTGAATGAGAGTTCTTTCAAACTCTCTAGAAAGAAAATTTCTGTGCAGGTAATATTAGTTATGAGGACAGCATTCCTCTAGGTGGGAAGGCCAGTGCATGTATGCAACAGTTTAGTTTATATTTTAGAGTAAATGAAATAATGAAGGATGGCTTCTAAAGCAGTGGTCATCAAACTTTGGAGTCTTCTCCCATTTTTCACCAGTATGGGAGAAACTGGGCTACAGTATGTCAAAATAAAAAAGTCAGCATTTTTCAAGATGGGTAATGCTTACTGAGGATTCTGTTCCTACATTTATTATTTCCAATTTTAATTGGTTTAAAGTTTTCTATGTCTAATGTAAAGTACTTGTGAGTGCAAACTCTAAATTCTACAGGGTTTTTTCCAACCAAGATACTTTCAGATATGCTGGATTAAAACTCCGACCATTTCTGATCTGTAGGACCATGACTGATAATGTAAGCTTGTTACTTGAGCTTACATTTCCCCTACTTGTTGCTTACCCAGTATATATTAACTCACTGTTTCTCAACCCCAGCAACTTTAAGATATATGAATTTCAACTCCCAGAATTCTCCAGCCAGCCATGAGGACTGGGGAATTCTGGGAGTTGAAGTCCATGTGTCTTAAAGTTGAGAAACGGTGATCTAATACTGTACATTGGGTGAGCACCAAGCAGAGGAAAATGTAAGCTAAAATGATGAGTCTTTAAAAATCATTAAATGTGAACTCTAAAATACATAATTATTGGCGGGCTACGTAGCTTCTTGTGAACAACATTGCATGCATATGTATTAATGCTCTACCAAAATTCACCTTGCACTTTCTCAGTTATATTTTTCTGCCAAAGGAATACTTTGAGACTTTGCTTTTTAATGTTATTAAGTGATGATTTGGCACTGACTTGATTAGATAATGGAATCAGCTGGGGGGAGGGCTTGTTGATTTATTTATGTAATATATTTCTATACCACTGGATCGAAAGCAATTCTCAGCTGCTCATTAAAGTAATAATTTGGCTCATTAAAATATCCATTGTGCTTCCTTGTTTTTTTCCTCTTAAATTCTTTTGTAAAGCAATTAATTAGGAAGTTGGCATGCTACAAATCAAAGCACCAGTCTCTAACATCAGATTTCTTTACAGGGATATTTTTGAATGGTAGGAACGACCTGCTCTCGTGATCAGAAACATTGTGGGAAAGTCGTGTTCACCTTGGGCAGCCATTTTGTTCCCAGGCAGCCATTTTGGCTTTCAAAGCAGCCATTGTATCCCTGATATTGAAACCTGCCTTTGGCTATTCTTGTAACAAGGTAATGGGTTGTCAGTTTGTTTCTGGGTCCAATTCAAGGTGACGGTCTCGCCTTTTAAAGCCCTACATGTTTTTATTGAGGAACTTGCTGATTTTTATCTGCCTGTTCCACCAGATTTAATAGAACGGGCATATTATGGGTTTTGTTGTCCCAGGAGCTACATTTGGCGGGCCTTTTCTGCTGTGGCCCCCACCCTTTGGCATCACTCCTGGGCTTTCAAAGGCCCCTCAAGATGAAAGCCTCATCACTCCTGGGCTTTCAAAGGTCCCTCAGGAACCAGCAGGTCTGGGGACCCCAAGAGATGAGTGAACTTGAAAGGTGGCTCTGTTAGTATTAATATCCCTCCATTGAGGAACAGTTTGGTGTAGTGGTTAACGTGCTAGCCATTCACCAGGAGATAGTGAGTTCTAGTCCCATCTTAGGCATGAAAGCTGGTTGGCTAACGTTGGGTCAATCACCAAGAGACAGTGAGTTCTAGTCCACCTTAGACATGAAATCAAGCTGGGTGACTTTGGACCAATCACCAGGAGACAGTTCTAGTCCCACCTTAGACATGAATGCCAGTCTACCTCTACATCAGGAGTGTCCAACTTTGGCAACTTTAAGATCTGTGGACTTCTAGTCTAATGAAAAGAAGGATTAGGAGAGACACGATAGCAGGGACTGCCACATAGAAGAGGGGGGGAGGTCAACCTATTCTCTAAAGCACCTGAAAGCAGGACAAGAAGCTATGGATGGAAACTAATAATAATAATAATGATGATGATGATGATGATGAGAATGATGATGATAATAATAATAATAAAGTTGGAAGGGTCCTTAGAGGTCATCTAGTCCAACCCCCTGCTCAGGCAGGAAGCCCTATACCATTTCAGACAAATGGCTGTCCAGCCTCTTCTTAAAAACTTCCAGTGTTGGAGCATTCATAGCTTCTGGAGGCAGGCTGTTCCACTGATTGATTATTCTCACTGTCAGAAAATTTCTCCTTAGTTCTAAGTTGCTTCTCTCTTTGGTTAGTTTCCATCCGTTGCTTCTTGTCCTGCCTTCAGGTGCTTTGGAGAATAGCTTACAGTGTGTGTGTGTGTGTGTGTGTGTGTGTGTGTGTGTGTGTGTAGGTATATACATATGTATGTATATAGCATGTGTATAAGTGTGCTATGTATGTGTGTGAGTAGATGTATACTTTCTTTTGAGAGCAGGCAACAGAATTTAATTTTTAATGTGTGCCAGTGTGCCCACAGTAAAAAATGACAATAAAGTTTATCCTGTCCTATCTGATCCTGAGACACTGTCACTGTCATACATACAATGCCTATTGCCAAATGCCATGGCCATAGGATGCTGGGATGGTTATAAATGAGAGGACTGGTGTTAAGTCTCTTTTTTTCAGTGCTGTGGTAATTTTGAACAGTCACTAAATGAATGATTGTAAGTCAAGGACTTCTCATATAAGAATCTGAAAGACTCTATAAATCTTGAGTTATATAGTTAGAATGAAGGGATATATGTTGAGGGAGCTGACAAAGTTTAGAGACCTCTTCGGCTAAATTATATTGTTACTATTGAACACTAAACATTATTAAACACTGAACAATAGTTAAAATGGCCATTCATCTCATTCTTTTAAAATTAAATTTGAGTGCTCTTGAACTTCAACTTTGGATACATGAGGAGTGTCAGAAGGTTCAATCTTTTCATTTTTTAATATATATCTTCCCCCCTTTTAAGGTGACCTCCCAAACAAGGGGCAGAATGTCTTCCAAAGATACTTGTGGGAAACGCCATCACCCTGTGGCCAGCCTTTGCAGGAAGCTCCAAGCTATCAACATGATGGACCAAGCTTCAAATCCTGCCTTGCAGATTCCAAAATTCCAGTCAAAAAACTTTGACAGTCCACAGAGTAACACAAAGAAGAACCTGGAGGAAATCTTGAAGAAAAGGACACTGAAAAGCAACAGTGCCCTGGGTACCGACCTCTGTTTGCTAAGTCCTTCCAATGACAACTTGTTATCTCCAGCCCCTGGCATGATGCAGACACCACGTCATCGACGTATTTCAGACATTCGTTCCGAGTCCTTTTCACTGGGTGGGAATAAAGAGAAGCCCAACAAATCATGGGTCTTGGTAAATCAGAGAGGGAACGGTTCACCACATCTCATTAAACATGGAGAGTTAACGTCTGATTATCTTTGCGACCACTCTAATATTGAGCCAAAGGTCACATCAGCTCTGGAATGCAGCTATTTCACATCGAGTCCGGATTTATTTATCCAAGGACCCAAACCTGTACAGCCCACTTTTGCTTCTCCACCACCCACAAGATTCTCCTTAGGTAAGGACCGAAGAAGGACATGCAGGCTGCTTTTGTATTATTTTTACGTCTGGGTTTTTTTTTTATGAATATCCTGCACTTTTATAGTATTTTGGCTGGTTTGTGGAAACTAACAGTGAGATGGCATTCCCACAAAGACAAAATGGCTTTTTCAACCTGATCACAGATGTAATCAGCGTACCAGCTGAAGAGAAGGAAGGAAAAGATGAACTTGGGAAGAGTTGAATTTGAGAAGCAGCATTGTTTAGCTTCAAAATTCAGAAAATATTTATTCTAGATCAGTGGTTCTCAAGCTTTTTAATGCTGCGACCCCCAACCGGTCGTAAGTTAGGACTACTCAACCGGTCGTAAGTCAAGGACTACTCAACTGGTGCAGCACCGTTTGCAGAATGGGACTTTTGGCGGGCTCAGCAGGGCAGAGACAGCCTGGACAATTCCTATTGGCTTTTGAAAGCCAATAGAATAGACTCTCTTTCCAAAGCGAATAGAATAAAAGGGAGGAGCACAGCTAAGGAAAAGGGAGAAAAAATGGCGGACTGCGTTGTTTGGCGACCCCCGTGAAATGGTTGTTCGACCCCAAATGGGGTCCCGATCCACAGGTTGAGAACCACTTTTCTAGATAAATATGTATGACATAAAAAAGTGAGCGGGAAAGCCAGTTAAAAGCAATTCTCTTAGCTGCATGTGGAAAAACAAACCGGCTTACAATATTCTTTGTCTTCATAGGATGGAAGCTGGCAGTGGACAACAGAGACAATGAGGACTCTGACATAAGTCTGATTTGTGAAGAAGACCTATTGACT